TTACAGAGAGAGAGAGAGCACAAGCAGGGGGAGCAACAGAGGAAGAGGGAGAAGCAGGTTTCCCGATGAGCAAGGAGCCCAATGTGGGGCTTGATTCCAGGACCCTGGGATCATGACCTGCGCTGAAGGCAGACATTTAACCGACTGAGCCACCCAGCTGCCCCATCTGCCTGACTTATTTTGCTGAGCATAATAAACTCTAGCTCCATCTACATCATTGAAAATGACAAGATTTCATTCCCTTAGATCGCTGAGTAATATATAAATATTTTATATATATCACTCTTCTTTATCCATTCATCAGTTGATGGACATTTGGGCTCTTTCCATAGTTCGGCTATTGTTGATAATGCTACTATAAACATTGGGGTACCTGTATCCCTTTGAATCTGTATTTTTGTATCTTTTGAGTAAATACCTAGTAGTGCAAATGCTGGATAGTAGGGTAGCTGTATTTTAACTTTTTGAAGAAACTCCATACTGTTTTCTAGAGTGGCTGCACAAGTTTGCATTCTCACCAACAGTGCAAGAGGATTCCCCTTTCTCTGCATCCTAGCCAACTTGTTTCTTGTGTTGTTAATTTTAGCTGTTTTTCTCTGTTAGTTACTGTGGGAATCTGGCCATGTTGCTGGAGGTGAATCTCATAATATTGTGGGAGTCTTCCATGACTGCTTCCCCCTGGAGTTTTCAACTCTCAGACTTCTCCACACTGAGCCCCCAGTGTCTCATCAATTAAACTTCAGATTTTTCTACCCAAGCATTGATTACCACAGTGGTTTCTGCTCTTGAGTCTCTGTGCCAGTTAGCTGTGACTCCTTGTATCTCCCTGTGATTCTCTAATCATTGGTTTGCCCTGTGTCCTCTCATCCTCCCATTTTTTACACATCCCAAAGAATTCTTGGTTTTCCAGTATGTTCAGCTTTTTACTTGTTAAGATGGAGTGGTAATTTCTAACCTCCTTACATTCAGAACTAGAAACTGGAAGTCCTTATAGTATCTTTTAATGGAAAATACTTTCAATTTTTATAAAGTCTAATTTGTCTATCTTTTCTTTTGTTGTTTATGCCTTTGGTATCATATCCAAGAAATCACTCCCAAACCCATTGTCATGAAGTTTTTTCCCTATGTTTTCTTCTAAGAATTTTATAATTTTAAGTCTTATATTTACATCATGGATCCATTTTGAGTTCGTTTTTGTATGTGGTGTTAGGTAAGGATATAACTTCATTCTTTTTTTTTTTTTTTAAAGATTTTATTTATTTATTTGACAGAGAGAGACACAATGAGAAAGGGAACACAAGCAGGGGGAGTGGGAGAAGGAGAAGCAGGCTTCCCGCTGAGCAGGGAGCCCGATGTGGGGCTTGATCCCAGGACCCTGGGATCATGACCTGAGCCGAAGGCAGATGCTTAACGACTGAGCCACCCAGGGGCCCCTTGCATCCTGTTTTCCCAGCACCATTTGTTGAAAGATTCTCTTTTCTCCCATTGAATGGTCTTGGCACCCTTGTTGAACACCATTTGACTTTATATGTGAAGTTTTATTTCTGGAATCTCTATTCTATTCCATTGGTCTATATGTTTGTCTTCATGCCAGTACCACACTGTTTTGATTACTGTAGCTTTGTAATAAGTTTTGAAATTGGGATGTGTGAATCCTCCAGCTTTGTTCTTCTTGCTCAGGATTGTTTTGTCTATTTGAAGTCCCTTGAGATTCCATATTAAGTTTAGAATGAGATTTTTCTTTTTTTTTTCTTTTTTTTTAAAGATTTTATTTATTTATTTGAGACAGAGAGAATGAGAGAGAGAGAGAGCACATGAGAGGGGGGAGGGTCAGAGGCAGAAGCAGGCTCCCTGCCGAGCAGGGAGCCCGATGCGGGACTCGATCCAGGGACTCCAGGATCATGACCTGAGCCGAAGGCAGTCGCTTAACCAACTGAGCCACCCAGGCGCCCTAGAATGAGATTTTTCTATTTCAGCAGAAAGCATCATTAGGATTTTGGTAGGGATTACATTAAACCTATAGATCACTTTGGGTTGTACTGACATCTTAGCAATAAGTCTTTCTTTTTTTTTTTTTTTTAAGATTTTATTTATTTATATGACAGAGAGACACAGCGAGAGAGGGAACACAAGCAGGGGGAACGGGAGAGGAAGAAGCAGGCTTCCCGTGGAGCAGGGAGCCCGATGCGGGGCTCAATCCCAGGACCCTGGGACCATGACCTGAGCCGAAGGCAGATGAGTAACGACTGAGCCACCTAGGCGCCCAAGTCTTTCTTTTTTTCGAGAGAGAGAGATGTGAGGGGGAGGGAGAAAGAGAATTTTTTTTTTTTAAAGTGGAGCTTATTTTATTTTTATTATTTTTATTTTTTTATAGTACATCATTAGTTTTTTATGTAGTGTTCAACTTATTCATTAGTTGTGTGTAACATCACACAACCCATGCCCTCCTTAATACCCATCACCTGGTTATTTTTTTTTAAAGATTTTATTTATTTATTAGAGAGAGAGGGTGAGAGCACACATGATCAGGGAGAGGCACAGAGGGAGAAGCAGGCTCCCCGCTGAGCAGGGAGCCTGGTACAGGGCTCAATCCCAGGACTCTGGGATCATGACCTGAGCCAAAGGCAGACACTTAACCAACTGAGCCACCCACGTGCCCCTTAACAGTAATATGTCTTTCAATCCATGAACATGAGATCTTTTTCCATTTATGTATTCTTTAATTTATTTCAGAAATGTTTCTGTTGTTTTCATCATGCAAGTCTTTCATCTTGGTTAAGTTAATTCGTATTTTCTTGGTATTGTAAGTGAAGCTGTTTTCTTAATTTTCTGTTCAGATTTTTCACTGTTAGTATATAGTAATGCAACTGATTTTTGTGTGTTGGCTTTGTATCCTGCTACTTTGTTGAATTCATTTAATAATTTTAAGCTTTCTATGTAATCTTTAGCATTTTCTACATATGAGATCATATCCTCTGTGAACAAAGATAATTTTACTTCTTCCTTTCCATTTTGGATGCCTTTTTTTTTTTTTTGCCTAATTGCTCTGGCTAGAATTTCTTTTTTTTTTTTTTTTAAGATTTTATTTATTTACTTGACAGAGAAAGACACAGTGAGAGAGGGAACACAAACAGGGGGAGTGGGAGAGGGATAAGCAGTCTTCCTGCTAAGCAGGGAGCCGGATGCAAAGCTCGATCCCAGGACCCTGGAATCATGACCTGAGCCGAAGTCAGATGCGCTTAACAACTGAGCCACCCAGGCGCCTCTGGCTAGAATTTCTAATACTATGTTGAATAGAAAAGGTGAAAACAGGCCTCCTTGCCTTGTCCTAATCTTAGAGGAACAACTTGCAGTCTTTCACCACTGAGTATGTTGTTTGCTGTGGGTTTTTCAGAAATGGCATTTTATTATATTGAGGTAGTTTCCTTCTATTCCTAGGATTTTGATTGTTTTTTATCATGAAAGAGTGCTGAATTTTGCCAAATGCCTTTTCTGCACCTATTGAGATGATCATGTGTTTTTTTCCTTCATTCTGTTAATGTGGTGTATTACATTGGTTGATTCGTGTAGATTGAGGTATCCTTACATTCCAGGAATAAATCCCACTTGCTCATGGTGTATAATCCTTTTAACATGTGGCTGAACTCACTTTTCTAATATTTTTTTTGAGGATCTTAGCGTCACTTTCATAAGGGATATTGATCTGTAGTATTCTTTTCTTGTAGTGTCTTTCTCTGTCTTTGGTATCAGGGTAATGCTGGCCTTATAGAATGAGAGTGTTCCTTCCTCTTCGTTTATGTGGAATAGTTTGAGAAGGATCAGTATTATTTCTTCTTTAAATGTTTGGTCGATTTCACCAGTGAAGCCACTGGGCCAAGGACTTCTCTTTGTCAGGAGATTTTTAAAAATTACTGATTCATTCTCCTTACTAGTTATAGGTCTATTAAGATTTTTAAAAAAGATTTACTTATTTATTTTAGAGAAAGTGTGTGTGCATAAGTGGGAGGAAGGGCAGAGGGAGAGAACCTTCAAGCTGACTCCCCGCTGAGTGCAGAGCTTGTTGCAGGCTCCATTCATATCCATGAAATCATGGTCTGAGCTTAACTGACTGGGCCACCCAAGCACCCCAGATCTATTCAGATTCTATAGCTATTTGCTCTGTGGTTACCATGGACATTGCATTTAATATCTTAAAGATATCACACTCTAATTTGAGTTTATACCAGCTTAACTTTAACTCTGCTATTTTAACAGCTCTGATAACAAATTTTCCAGGCATTATACTCCCGCTTATTTTTCCCTTGAAGATAGTATTGTGTAGTCTTTTATTTTCATAATCACAACCATGATAGTGTAGTCCATGATTAACTATTGTTTTAAGTTTCAATTAAGTGTCATCTGATCATTGTAAATGACATTTTTCTATATTGAGAATATATTCAAATTGAACAATTTTCATAAAAATAAAGAGGATGAAACATTACAATATAGCTGAAATTATAAAGATTGTAGTTTTCAAAATTAAAGCTTGATAATTATATAGTTTTCAGTTAAATGTAGATACGTTATAAAAGGTAAAATAAGTTTTGGTTTTTTTTTTAAAGATTTTATTTATTTTTTAGAGAGTGAGCGAGAGAGAAACAGCATGAGAGGGGAGAGGGTCAGAGGGAGAGGCAGGCTCCCCGCTCAGTGGGGAGCCCGATGTGGGACTCGATCCCAGGACCCTGGGATCATGACCTGAGCCGAAGGCAGACACTTAACCATCTGAGCCACCCAGGCGCCCAAAGGTAAAATAAGTTTTTAACTGTAGAAAACAAAGTATATTTAACTCAATAGTTTTATGTTTGAAATATTTGAATGCCAGTAAATTGTGGTTAGAATTTATTATATGTATTCTTCATAGTAATAAAATGCATAAAAGGAAATTTATACCACATTAAAGTACCTTGCACATTAAAATATTAACAGTATTGCCTAAATCTACTGGTATTTTTAAAGGTTCCAAATTCTGAATTTGCTTCATTTTAAGAATAAGTGAGATTTGAAGTGTACCAGTCTTTAAAAGACATAATTGAAAATGATTGCATTAAGTAAATTGCAAATGAATATATAGACTTTTGGAAATCCGTGAATGAATCTCAAATCTACACCATTAGCCACATGATGTCGCTGTATACCACAAAGTCTTGTCACCAAAAACTAAAGGAGGAAGCTCCATTTTGTCACAGCCTGAGAGAAGACAAAAACGGCCGGGATATTTATTATTCAAGATATAAAGTAAAGAGAGTATGGCTTTGAAGTGAGAGAGTGGTACCAATTTTTAGTGGTTTTGCGATGCTGTTTCCTAGGCAAGGAGGCAAGGGAGCCTTGCGTTTGTTGCTCTCCCTTCTGCTCCTCGCAACCTGGAAGACTGGGAGTGGTCAGGTCCACTACTCGGTCGCTGAGGAGGCCAAACACGGCACCTTCGTGGGCCGCATCGCCCAGGACTTGGGGCTGGAGCTGGCGGAGCTGGTGCCGCGCCTGTTCCGGGTGGCGTCCAAAGGCCACGGGGACCTTCTGGAGGTAAATCTGCAGAATGGCATTTTGTTTGTGAATTCTCGGATCGACCGGGAGGAGCTGTGCGGGCGGAGCGCGGAGTGCAGCATCCACCTGGAGGTGATCGTGGACAGGCCGCTGCAGGTTTTCCATGTGGTGGTGGAGGTGAAGGACATTAATGATAACCGACCGGTTTTCAGAGCAAGAGAACAAAGGTTATTTATTCCTGAATCTAGACTGGTGGATTCACGTTTCCCGATAGAGGGAGCTGCTGATGAGGACATTGGTACCAACGCTCTTCTAACTTACACCCTCAGCCCCAGCGATTATTTCTCTTTGGATGTACAGGCAAGTGATGAACTCAGTAAGTCACTTTCACTTGAATTGAGGAAATCTTTGGATAGAGAAGAAACACCAGAACTTCATTTATTATTGACAGCCACTGATGGGGGCAAACCAGAGCTGGAAGGTACAGTTCAGCTGCTGATCACAGTGCTCGACGTTAATGATAATACCCCATTGTTCGCCCAGGCTGTGTACAGAGTCCATTTATTAGAAAGTACAGCAAATGGAACATTAGTGACTACATTAAACGCCTCTGATGCCGATGAAGGTGTAAATGGAGAAATTGTTTTTTCCTTTGGCAGTGATGTTCCTCTAAACATTCAAAAAAACTTCAAAATTGATTCCAACTCAGGAGAAATTAGGCTAATTGGTAGACTGGATTATGAGGAAACAAAATCCTATGAAATTCAGGTAAAAGCAGTTGATAAAGGAAATCCTCCAATGTCGAATCACTGCAAGGTTTTAGTGAAAGTGCTGGATGTAAATGACAATGCTCCACAACTGGCAATCACACCTCTGTCTTTGCCGGTTAGAGAGGACACTCCACTCGGCACCGTCATCGCCTTTGTCTCCGTGTCCGACCGTGACTCCGGCGTCTATGGGCAGGTGACCTGCTCTCTGATGCCTCATATCCCATTCAAGCTGGTGTCCACCTTCAAGAACTACTATTCGCTGGTGCTGGACAGCGCCCTGGACCGAGAGAGCGTGGCGGACTATGCTCTGGTGGTGACCGCACGCGACGCAGGCTCGCCTTCGCTCTCCGCCACGGCCAGCATGTCCGTGGAAGTGGCGGACGTGAACGACAACGCGCCGGCATTCGCGCAGCCCGAGTACACGGTGTTCGTGAAGGAGAACAACCCGCCCGGCTGCCACATCTTCACGGTGTCTGCGCGGGACGCCGACGCGCAGGAGAACGCGCTGGTGTCCTACTCGCTGGTGGAGCGGCGCGTGGGCGAGCGAGCGCTGTCGAGCTACGTGTCGGTGCACGCGGAGAGCGGCAAGGTGTACGCGCTGCAGCCGCTGGACCACGAGGAGCTGGAGCTGCTGCAGTTCCAAGTGAGCGCGCGCGACGCGGGCGTGCCTCCCCTGGGCAGCAACGTGACGCTGCAGGTGTTCGTGCTGGACGAGAACGACAACGCGCCCGCGCTGCTGCCGCGGCCGGGGGCGGGCGGCGGCGCTGTGAGCGAGCTGGTGTCGCGGTCGGTGGGCGCGGGCCACGTGGTGGCGAAGGTGCGCGCGGTGGACGCCGACTCTGGCTACAACGCGTGGCTGTCGTACGAGCTGCGGCCGGCGGCGGGTGGCGCGCGCAGCCCGTTCCGCGTGGCGCTGTACACGGGCGAGATCAGCACGACGCGCACCCTGGACGAGGCGGACTCGCCGCGCCAGCGCCTGCTGGTGCTGGTGAAGGACCACGGCGAGCCGGCGCTCACGGCCACGGCCACTGTGTTGCTGTCGCTGGTGGAGAGCGGCCAGGCGCCCAAGGCGTCGTCGCGGGTGCTGGCGGGCGCCGCTGGCGCCGAGACGGCGCTGCTGGATGTCAACGTGTACCTGATCATCGCCATCTGCGCGGTGTCCAGCCTGTTGGTGCTCACGCTGCTGCTGTACACGGCGCTGCGCTGCTCGGCGCCGCCCGCGGAGGGCGCGTGCGCGCCTGGGAAGCCCACGCTGGTGTGCTCCAGCGCGGTGGGGAGCTGGTCGTACTCGCAGCAGAGGCGGCAGAGGGTGTGCTCCGGGGAGGGCCCGCCCCCGGCCCCGCCCCCGCCCGCGTCCAAGACCGACCTCATGGCCTTCAGCCCCAGCCTACCTCAAGTTCCAGGCTCCGCAGAAGAAAGACAACAATCCTCAGAATCAGAACACTTAGGAAAGGTGAGTCTTTCCTGTCGATTCTAGAATTGTTCTATTTCCTTTATGATTCTATTATTTTGATTCATAGCTTTGCCCTTATTTTTTTATTATTATGTTAATCTTGCCATTTGCCCTTATTTTTTTTATCATTATCCTATGGTGCAATATATGGTATGAAATAGAGGTGAATTTCTTCATTGAGAACAATTTACTTAAATGGTTTTCTTATTTTAAGATTTTGTTTTTTTCATAATTAAATCTGTTCATGAATAATTGGACTTTGAAGGACTGAAAAACACTTCAGCCTAATTTGAAAACTTATTACCTGTAAATATTTTTTCTCAAAATTAAAAAATCATAATTGGAAAAAATTTAAAGAGTATGAATATATAAAATGCATATTTCCAATTTACATCACCCATCCATTCTGTCAGAATATTTTGGAATAGGAGTATATTATTTATCTGGGCGTTTTCTAGATTATTTTTTCGATCAAGAATTCATTTGTCTTTATCTGTTTATGCAACAGGTAATAAGTTAGGTTTTCTTTTCCTTGTTTTTGAAAGCAGCCTGAATGGATCTTTTAATGCCAGGACTTCTGAAAGTACCTATCATAGGTCATTAGAATACATCACTTAGGATCACTAAGTGACATCACTTAGGAATAATTGCTAATATTAGGTATGTCTTTCAGTAGTTAAATAACCTGTTATTTGGGATAAAGACTTCACACTTACAAAATCCGTAGAGTTTTAAGGCACAATAGAGAGTTCATTGAGAAAAGAATCCCTCCCTGGGGCACCTGGGTGGCTCAGTGGGTTAATCGTTGTTGGTTGTTACGTTGTTGGTTGTTCCGTGGCTCCATCTGTTGGATGTCTGACTCTTGATTTCAGCTCAGGTCATGATCTCAGGGTAGTGGGATCCAGCCCCAGGAGGGGTTCTGCACTCAGTGAGGAGTCTGCTTGTCCCTCTCCCTCTGCTCCTCCTCCCCTGCTCACAGGCACTCTCTTTCTCTCTCTCTCTCAAATAAGCAAACAAACAAAATCTTTAGAAAAAAAGAAAAGAACCCTCTTTCAATTTTGTTAAAATATCTTTTTTTTTTTTTTTTTTTTTTTTTAGACAGAGAGCAGGGGAGTGAGGAGGGGCAGGAGAGAGAGAGAGAATCTTAAGAAGGCTCCACACCTGGCGCAGAGCCCAACAAGGGGTTAGATCTCACAATCCTGAGATCACAACCGGAGTTGAAATCAAGAGTCAGACACCCAACAGATGGACCCACCCAGGCGCCCTAAAATATTTTAACATTAAAAAAAATCTTAACATTTAAAAAATTACATTGAGGGGTGGCCAGGTGGTGGGATTTTTTTTCCTCTAAAAGTGGTGAGTACTCTAGCCCAGTTGTTATGTTAGTGGGCTGCTCAGTTATCCTTCCCAGTATCTGTATCATTAGGCTAATGTGTGCAGGCCTTCCACTGTGCAGAGAATGACCACCTGCCTCTGACACCACACTCTATGCCTGGTATAACATTTTCCACAAGTGTGAGATCACTCACTTTCTCCTGGCAACATCCATATAACTAAGGAAGTTAGCGTTTTCCCAAAAGGTGAAGACTGATATTGAATGACTGCATTTTAATTGGAAACTCCTGTGTTGGGTTGTTAAAACATAAAATTGACAAGTAAATGTTACACTTGGAGAAGAATTTTAAAACTTCAAAAGAAAATGTTTTGGTGTGAAATAACTGTCTAAAACTGTCTTCTATTTGGTTCTTAGTTATTTGCTGTTTTTTCCCTGTATGTATGTGGATGGGTATTGAATTGTAGAAATTGAATTGTAGAAATAACTTCCACTAAGTGATCTGGCCTTAGCCATTCAACGGATAGGCCATATATTCATTTTCATCCGAGATCTGCTTTTAAAGGACTTGAGAAGTTAGGTGGGGAAATCTTTTAAGGATAATCTGTTTCTACAGTAAACTTCTTAGCTCCTAACAGTTAATAAGCCTCCAAATTCAGGGAGTATATATTTCCTGGGAACCAGAAAAGTTTATCTGAGGCTTTATAGGGAAAAAAGTGACTTGGGCAAATAAGGAAGAAGCTCTTTCTTGGGAGGAGTCATCCTACCTAGAGTGTCATAGCTACTCACCACCTTTTTGAGACTTGTATGCAGACAGTATAAACGGTCAGATGAAATCTGTCCTACTAGAAGTCTGGCCACTACGTTTGTACTACAGGTAAATGGTAAGCTGTTAAAACTATATCCAGGTATACCCAGATCTCCAAGAGTCACAATTTATCACTTAAATTCTTATTGGTTTCTTATTCCTTATTTACACTTTTAAATTAAGTTACCTGAGGAGATGTCTAAGTGAGAGTAGATATTATTCACTGATACTTTATCCACACAGTGGCTCAATCTGATGAACTCATAGTTCCTTTAGTATTACCTTCATTGCCTAATAATCATTATGGAGTCTACTCTGTCATAAATTGCCTGTAGCATTCTACTTTGCAATTAGTATATTCTTTTTTTTTTTTTAAGATTTTATTTATTCATTTGAGATGCAGAGATAGAGAGAGAGGGAGAGAGAGCACATGAGCAGGGGGAGAGGCAGAAGCAGGCTCCCCCCTGAGTCAGGAGCCTGATGTGGGGCTCGGTCCCAGGACCCCGGGGTCATGACCTGAGCCAAAGGCAGACGTTTAACCATCTGAGCCACCCAGGCACCACTACAATTAGTATACTCTTAAATGTCATGAAATGTATAGTATTATAATAAGTTGTCAGAGGTATTCCATTAATATGGAGTCCATGGTGTTTTTAAATTTATTTTTTAAAAGATTTTATTTATTTATTTGTCAGAGAGAGAGAAAGCACAAGCAAGGGAACAGCAGGCAGAGGGAGAAGCAGGCTCCCTGCTGAGCAAGGAGCCTGATGCAAGACTTGATCCCAGGAATCTGGGATCATGACCTGAGCCAAAGGCAGACACTTAACTGACTGAGCCACTCAGGCATCCCATGGAGTCCATGATGTTTTAAAATTTTAATTCTGGGGGCGCCTGGGTGGCTCAGTCATTAAGCGTCTGCCTTCAGCTCAGGTCATGGTCCCAGGGTCCTGGGATCGAGCCCCACATCGGGCTCCCTGCTCAGCGGGAAGCCTGCTTCTCCCTCTCCCTCTCCTCCTGCTGTGTTCCCTCTCTCACTGTGTCTCTCTCTGTCAAATAAATAAAATCTTTTAAAAAAAATTTTAATCTGTATCTCATTTTAAAACTAGTTATTATTTTTCAAGAGTCTTCAAAGCACTAACTGGCATACAGATAACTGTAATTATTTCCTTGATTCATGCTTTTCCAAAATAATTCTTAAATGTTTATTTACTTCTTCATGAACTAGTACAATAGAATCAATTAGAAATTATGTAAGTTTGCTATTAACAAATATCATTAATGTAACTTACCTCTTATGATACTTGAGAAAGTTTAAAATACTCATTTATCCATTAAAACATTAATTGATAATTCTTTTCTAAATGTGAATGATAAAATACGAGTAAGTTGATATCCCGGCATGCATTCAGTGAGTGCACGGGAATAAAAGCTGGCATGAAAACTTTTCTCCTAATATTTAAATCACGTATTTGGTTTTATTTCAAGAGGCTCTGACTATAAGCAAAACCTTGGACATCCTTTTACCTCTCTACATTCAACCTCTGCCCATGAATTTTCTCTGGTCAACTTTCAAATATTTAGAGAACTTATGCCTCTCACTGAATTCAGAGAGACCTTTAGAATATTACATTGCCTCATCTTTCAGATACTGAATGGTGAATTATGTTCCAAAGTTACTTTTCTCTTTATTGATTGGTTAAGTCACCAATACTTTCAAGTAACAACTTTTTAAGAAACTGGAATCCAGAAATTCATCTAGAGTGGAGATCATTTAAACATAATTATTTCATATTGTGAACATTTTAGGATATGCAGGTAAGTTGAAATGTATAAATGGTGTGGAAATTTAAAAAGCAAATATACTCTGACTTGCTGTCATGAATGTATTGTCATATAGTAAAACAAATTTATAAAAGAACTGCACTGTAAAAAACTACCTTCTGGCATCTTTATATAAATAACACTTAAGACAGACAACAAGTGTATAATCATTGGATAAAGGACATAAGAGTGGGTTGTAGACAGTCCATAAATAAATTTTCTAAATTAACAATTGCTATAATAATATATAAGTAAATATGTATGTATATATGGATATGTATATACACATACTTTTTTGTTGTTAAGTAGGATCCACACCCAATGTGGGGCTTCAACTCTCAGACCCTGATTTAAGAGTCACATGCTCTACCAACTGAGCCATCCAGGCACCCCTATCTAAACATACTGTCAATGTCTTGATGTTTTGGTGGTCACGAATATCAAAGGCCTGATTTTTCTTTCTTTTTTTTTTAATCATCTTTCTGGAATTCTTTTTTTTTTAAGATTTTATTTATTTATTTGAGAGAGAGAGAGAGAAAGCAAGAGACAGCAGAGCGGGCGAAGGGGCAGAGGGAGAAGCCGACTCCCTGCTGAGCAGGGAGCCCGAGTTGGGGCTGGATCCTAGGACCCCAACGCGTGGAATCAGGACCTGAGCCAAAGGCACATGCTTAACCAACTTAATCACCCAGGTGGCCCTGATTTTTCTACAAAATGTAGACTTTGAGGCCAAGTGGTAAAAGTTAGGGGTCTTGAATCAGATTGAGATCCCACCCAAATAACACCAGTTAATATTTTTAAGTTACTTAACTGGTATGTGTTTTCACTTCCTTGTTTGTAAAAAGTGACTTGTATTAATACTACCTCGGAGAGTTGTGAGAATTTAATGGGAAAAAAGAAGAATTTAATGGATAACCCCATTACAACCCCAGGCTTGTCATGTAGGGAATATTTCCAGTAGATGTCCACTACTATTACAACATTAATCATTCTACTATATTTTACTATGTCATGGATTGGGATATTTGGAAGTGATGAATTAGTATAAAAGCTGTAAGGTTATATTTCTATAAATATAAAGAATTTGAAAAGTGCTCGAAGGAAATTACAACTAAAATAGAAATTTTGGGAAAGATCAGAGGCTAGTATACAGAGAAGGTGGGTACATTTATTTAATACTTACACATTTAGCCACATGATGTCGCTGTCCACCAGAAGGTATTTAACGACAAAAGAAATGAAGCATGCGTTATGTACTCAGATGCTGCTCTCTGAAATACGGCCACGGTAAGGTTATTTAAGAAAAGAATGAGGAACTCAAATTATTTTTTGAAGTTTGGATCAAGGCAAGAACGACACAGTATTTGGAAAAGGCTTGCAAGGGTGTTTTCACGGAGAGAAGAAGGTCCAGGAGCCCGGCGATTACTGTTTTCGCTTCTGCTCCTCTCAGTCTGGGAGACCGTGAGCGGCCAGGTTCATTACTCAGTCCTGGAGGAGGCCAAACACGGCACCTTCGTGGGCCGCATCGCCCAGGATTTGGGGCTGGAGCTGGCGGAGCTGGTGCCACGCCTGTTCCGGGTGGCGTCCAAAGGCCGCGGGGACCTTCTGGAGGTAAATCTGCAGAATGGCATTTTGTTTGTGAATTCTCGGATCGACCGGGAGGAGCTGTGCGGGCGGAGTCTGGAGTGCAGCATCCACCTGGAGGTGATCGTGGACAGGCCGCTGCAGGTTTTCCATGTGGAGGTAGAGGTGAAGGACATTAACGACAACCAGCCAGTTTTCCCGGTGGCAGTAAAAAAATTATTTATTTACGAATCCCGGCCGCCTGGTTCTCGGATTCCGCTAGAGGGCGCGTCAGATGCAGATATTGGAGCCAATTCTCTGTTGACCTACAGTCTTAACTCTAACGATTATTTTACCTTGGATATTAAAAGAAATGATGATAATATTAAATCCCTTGGACTCGTGTTGAGAAAAGTTTTAGATCGCGAGGACACTCCTGAACATCACTTACTAGTAACGGCTGTTGATGGTGGGAAACCAGAGCTCACCGGAACTACTCAAGTGAAGATCACCATTCTAGATGTAAACGACAACGCCCCAGAGTTTGAGAGGACTGTCTACAGAGTCAGTTTATTCGAAAATGCACCAAACGGTACCCTAGCAGTGATTGTTAACGCCTCTGATTTGGATGAAGGAGTAAATAAGGACATTGTATATTCTTTCAATACAGACATGTCAGCAGATACTCTTTTGAAATTCCACTTAGACCCAGTTAGTGGATACATCAGTGTAAAAGGTAATATAGATTTCGAGGAAACTAAGTTATATGAAATCCAGGTAGACGCGACAGATAAAGGAACTCCCCCAATGACAGGTCACTGCACGGTTCTGGTGGAAATTTTGGACACCAATGATAATGTACCTGAGTTGGTTATCAAATCACTATCATTACCTGTATTAGAAGATGCTCCCCTCGGCACGGTCATTGCCCTAATCAGTGTGTCTGACCGCGACTCTGGTGCCAACGGGCAGTTGACCTGCACCCTGTCACCCCGCGTTCCCTTCAAGCTGGTGTCCACCTTCAAAAACTACTATTCGCTGGTGCTGGACAGCGCCCTGGACCGAGAGAGCGTGGCGGACTATGAGCTGGTGGTGACAGCACGAGACGGGGGATCGCCTTCGCTGTCCACCACAGCTAGCATGTACGTTGAGGTGGCGGACGTGAACGACAACGCGCCGGCATTCGCGCAGCCCGAGTACACGGTGTTCGTGAAGGAGAACAACCCGCCCGGCTGCCACATCTTCACGGTGTCTGCGCGGGACGCCGACGCGCAGGAGAACGCGCTGGTGTCCTACTCGCTGGTGGAGCGGCGCGTGGGCGAGCGAGCGCTGTCGAGCTACGTGTCGGTGCACGCGGAGAGCGGCAAGGTGTACGCGCTGCAGCCGCTGGACCACGAGGAGCTGGAGCTGCTGCAGTTCCAAGTGAGCGCGCGCGACGCGGGCGTGCCTCCCCTGGGCAGCAACGTGACGCTGCAGGTGTTCGTGCTGGACGAGAACGACAACGCGCCCGCGCTGCTGCCGCGGCCGGGGGCGGGCGGCGGCGCTGTGAGCGAGCTGGTGTCGCGGTCGGTGGGCGCGGGCCACGTGGTGGCGAAGGTGCGCGCGGTGGACGCCGACTCTGGCTACAACGCGTGGCTGTCGTACGAGCTGCGGCCGGCGGCGGGTGGCGCGCGCAGCCCGTTCCGCGTGGCGCTGTACACGGGCGAGATCAGCACGACGCGCACCCTGGACGAGGCGGACTCGCCGCGCCAGCGCCTGCTGGTGCTGGTGAAGGACCACGGCGAGCCGGCGCTCACGGCCACGGCCACTGTGTTGCTGTCGCTGGTGGAGAGCGGCCAGGCGCCCAAGGCGTCGTCGCGGGTGCTGGCGGGCGCCGCTGGCGCCGAGACGGCGCTGCTGGATGTCAACGTGTACCTGATCATCGCCATCTGCGCGGTGTCCAGCCTGTTGGTGCTCACGCTGCTGCTGTACACGGCGCTGCGCTGCTCGGCGCCGCCCGCGGAGGGCGCGTGCGCGCCTGGGAAGCCCACGCTGGTGTGCTCCAGCGCGGTGGGGAGCTGGTCGTACTCGCAGCAGAGGCGGCAGAGGGTGTGCTCCGGGGAGGGCCCGCCCCCGGCCCCGCCCCCGCCCGCGTCCAAGACCGACCTCATGGCCTTCAGCCCCAGCCTTCCACCTGGTCCCATTGGCGGGGATAGAGAAGAGCAGCTGAATGTGGACGTTGATCTTTCTGCTAAAGTGAGTACAGTTTTTAAAACCCTTTCAAAATGTCCTTGTTTATTATTCTTCAATGTTTTTATTCTTTTTGAAACATGTTTTTGTTAATTGGTTTTCTAGGATTTTGTGGTTAAAATGTTTGAATTTCTTTTGACTAATGTTTTTGAACTGAATCAGCAGTAAGTAGTGAGAACCATATTTGTAGTTTTTTGTCGTTGTAGTAGTAGTAGTTATTATTAGGTGCGGTAATAGGATTATTTTATTGCTAATGTATGGATAGAAACTAAATATATTTTTCTTGATGAATTGTATTGTTTAGAATATTTGACTCCCAACTGTGGTTTACTAATCCTTGCTCAATGCTTCAGTAGCCTTTGCCCCTTTTCATTTGGAATTCTTTTTTTTTTTTTTTTTATTTATTTATTTGAGAGAGAGTGAGATAGAGAGAGCATGAGAGGGGGGAGGGTCAGAGGGAGAAGCAGGCTCCCCGCCGAGCAGGGAGCCCGATGCGGGACTCGATCCCGGGACTCCAGGACCACGACCTGAGCCGAAGGCAGTCGCTCAACCAACTGAGCCACCCAGGCGCCCCTTCATTTGGAATTCTTAACATGTGTTAGTCTAAATGTCACTGGCCCATTTTATGAATTCACCATAACTCTCACCACTCACTGTTTGTTTTTTATATCCTCAGTTTCAAGTATTAGTTTATTAAGCCTGTTATCTCTATGAAGTCTCTTTTACTCACTCATTTATGTGAAGTCTTAGTTCTTTCTTTCTACTTGAACATGATTCATTTTAGTCCTTGTGCTCACATTTGGTAATACATTGTATTGTTGCTAGTTTTCCAATTGGGTAAAGAAAACCACACACACCATAATAATAATTTTATTGCTTTAGCATCATATCTTTGTACATCTTAAGTTTCTCACTACTTTTATTAGTAAGCATTGAAAAAATCTATAGGAAGTGAAGTTTTATACTCCTTTATATCATTTAGAAAATATTCTTTTTGAAAGTATATTATTAATTTTGTTAAGAATTGTTTTCCATCAGAACAATTTGTTGAGAATACTACTCTGTATCTAATTTTAAAACTATTAAGGGTGCCTGGGTAGCACAGTCCGTTAAGCATCTGACTCTTGGTTTCAGCTCAGGTCCTGATCTCAGAGTCCTGAGATCTAGCCCCTAGTGGGGCTCCACCATCAGTGGGGAGTCTACTTAAGACTGTGTCTCCCTCTGCCTCTGCCCCCCACCCCGTGCTCTCTCTCTCTAAAATAAATAAATAAATCTTAAAAAAAAAAAAAACTATTCTAGGGATGCCTGGGTGGCTCAGTCGTTAAGCGTCTGCCTTCGGCTCAGGTCATGGTCCCAGGGTCCTGGGATCGAGCCTTGCATCAGGCTCCCTGCTCAGCAGGAAGCCTGCTTCTCCCTCTCCCACTCCCCCTGCTTGTGTTCCCTCTCTTGCTGTGTCTCTCTCTGTCAAATAAATAAATAAAATCTTAAAAAAAACCCTATTCTACTAGCAAACTTATTAATCATTAACCTATTTTGCAAACAGTATTAAGGATGCTAATGTCGAAAAACTCCAATAAGTTAATTACTTATTGTTATTACTCGTGAGTATTTTCCTCTGAATACCAACCTGTCCATTAATGTGTGTTATGTAGTACATAAAATGTGTGTTATATAGTACATAAAAACTCCAAATAACTGGAACCAAATAAAACAAAATGAGATTGTTTTGTAGTCATTTCCCTATTTGGCATTTGATAATTTCTCCAAATAGATGGACTTCCATTCAAGTTTTCTTGCCATGGGAAACTGAACCTTAGCCATATTACAGACTAGAAAACAAGTGATTATTTCTAAACCATGAAAGATAAAAAGAAAATACTAACCTTCTTGTGGGAGGTCATTGGGTTCCAGTGTATACAATTATATGGACTATTTTTATACACAAATTATAACTACAGCTTCCTACTTCCTGTACAAGCTTCCTTGCTGAAGCCTCGTTAATAATCAGTGACATTGTGAGTGAGACTAACATACAATAGAGAAATAATCCTCTTTTTTCCTATTTTCATTTCCTTTTCTGTCACTATCCTTTGTTGACCCCTGTCCATCAACTGTTAGCCACAGCATGTCCCACCTGAGTTCACATGTTATTTCATTTGGCCTGGTTTTCATCCTGTTGTAATTAATAGGGTCATCCAAAGTTCTTCTCTCCCAGGGTGTGGGACTTCAGTCTTCAAATTGACCTCTCCTCTTCAAATTCTTGTCTAACAAGATTCTCAGTTAATAAGACATTTTAAAGACTTTTGAGTTTTTCTCTTTAGAGATATATTGCTGCTATACAGATGAATACTAATAGTTCTCACATAAATATCCTTTATATTTTGTTGCATTCCTCATATATGCATTTAATTATTTTCAAAATAAAGTAAGTGGACAGGGAGTCTCTTTTGGTTTCTTCCAGTGTGTTTGACATTTATGGTCATTTTGTACAAATCTACAGTTTCGGTCCTCAAACAGAGAAACTACTCTGATTCATGTTTTAATTCAGAAAAGATGTTTTTGTGTGTGAGAGTGTGATTTTCATAAAATGGAAGCCTAAAGCTATTTTCAGTAGATTGATTTTTTTTTTGTTCTAACCAACCATGAGGGAAAGGGGTTTATGAATGTAAGAGGCAAAGAAAGTTTGAAAAGTTTGAAAATAATTACCATCATGTCCTTTTAAGTTTCCTTATGTCAGGAAAATATATTGTGCTCTATTGATTGAGAATTCTTCATTGAGTATTAAAACTCAGGATGTCTCTAAGATCATGACTACCAAGAACCAGTATGAAAACTAAGCTAAAGTCAGGTTTTCAGTATGGAAATTGAAATATATCTTAATTAGGGCAATGTCCAAGTAAAATATTTTTGTATCTCTGGAAAATTATAGAGGCTGCTGCTAAGACATAATATTTTCCTAACTAGCTTTGTGACCACCTTAATTTAATGCACTTTATTAGGCAACTGAAGAGAACCAGACCATTCTATTAGGTAAATATTCAGCAAATACTAGGTATGTATTCTGAGCTCTTAAACTAATAAGACACAACTATTCTCTTTAAAAGTTTATATTTCATAAAAGAAGGTTCCAGTTATTTGGATCTTTGTACTTATTACATGACACCCATGTCATTAGACACACATACTCAAATGCCTACAAAAGAGGTATTAATGTAATAAATGGCCGAGGTGATTCCATCTGTATGCTATAGTATATAAAAGAAAGTAAAGGTATCTGCTCAATTGGGTTAATCATGAAAGTCTTCATTTTATGAAGAGGTCAAGAAATTTTAAAATCATTATAAAATGCGGGGTTGCTTTGTGAAGCATTTGGAAATGATGGATTTAGGGGATGAAATGAGTTTTTTAGTGAAAAATATTATTGGAAGCAGGAAATTGTCCACTTTGACTGAAATACATGAGCACTATAGAAGAAAACAGAAGCTTATGCCTATTAGACACTGGAGAACAGGATTTATAAATTTAAGAGACAGGATTTCTAAATCTAAGAGACAAATTAAGAATACCAATCTTGCTTGTGGGAGGTGAATGTATTTGTTAATAAAATTATTTGCAATACTTTCCCACACCCATTATATACCACAACATCGTACTTCTTTAAAGCTCCTTGCACTTTCAGCCCTTAGATGAATTAATGAAGACCTTCAGGTAAGTGCTGGTGCGTTTTGCTTCCCTTTTTAGGACATTTTAAAATATCCCAACATTTTAATTTTTTTTCCTTTTTTTTTATTCTTATGTTAATCCCCATACATTACATCATTAGTTTTAGATGAAGTGTTCCATGATTCATTGTTTGTGCATAACACCCAGTGCTCCATGCAGAATGTGCCCTCCTCAATACCCACCACCAGGCTAACCCATCCTCCCACCCCCCTCCCCTCTAGAACCCTGTTTGTTTTTCAGAGTCCATCGTCTCTCATGGTTCATCTATCCCAACATTTTTATTTTTATTTTTTTAAAGATTTTATTTATTTGCGAGAGAGAGAATGAGAGAGAGCATGAGAGGGAGGAGGGTCAGAGGGAGAAGCAGACTCCCTGCTGAGCAGGGAGCCCGATGTGGGACTCGATCCCAGGACTCCGGGATCATGACCTGAGCCGAAGGCAGTCGCTTAACCAACTGAGCCACCCAGGCGCCCTATCCCAACATTTTAAAAGTTCTCTTTCAATGGCTTATTCTTGGCATTGGAGGTTTCCTAGAGCAGAGGGTTCTCTGAAGTCTTCAACACAAGGAATATGAAATCCAAAGATGAAGACTGTGTCATCATTAATAACTACTTTCCCCCATTCTCAGGAACACACAAAATCTGTCAAGAATCTTCCTAATCAGGGGCACCTGGGGGGCTCAGTCGTTAAGCGTCTGCCTTCGGCTCAGGTCATGATCCCAGGGTCCTGGGATCGAGCCCCACATCAGGCTCCCTGCTCGGTGGGAGGCCTGCCTCTCCTTCTCCCACCCCCTCTGCTTGTGTTCCCTCTCTCACTGTGTCTCTCTCTGTCAAATAAATAAAAATAAAATCTTAAAAAAAAAAAAAAGAATTTTCCTAATCACTTTAACAATTCTATGTTTACAAATATATGTATGTTAATTATAGCTGGGCTCTATAAATACTTAAAACCTGTGTGAAAAAAGGATTTCCACTGAAGTAAAAGCTGTCCCTGTGGTGAAACTAAGGATTACATTCAATCAACGGTACAAACCGTGGACATTAGTAGTATAAAACGTGTTTCTAAAGTATGCGCAATGGCTGAAAGGAAGACTCACTGGTATCAGAATCCATTACTTACGGTTTGGAGCCACGTGATGTCGCTGTGTACCATAAAATCGATCTTAACAGAGGGGAAAAAAAATCCCTTCTGTTCTTATAAAGAAGCTGCGCCCACCATCCACATGCTGAGAAATGGAGGATACAGCGGCACTGGACTGAACAGTTAGAAGATTTTTCTTGATTTTGAAACAAGATCCCTTAATAAAAACAAAGCACTGCGGGCTGGAGATGGAGTTTTCCTGCGGAAGCAGCCAGGAATCCCGGCGTCTGCTGCTCTCACTCCTGTTCCTGGCAGCCTGGAAAGCAGGGAGCGGCCAGGTTCACTACTCAGTCCTGGAGGAGGCCAAACACGGCACCTTCGTGGGCCGCATCGCCCAGGATTTGGGGCTGGAGCTGGCGGAGCTGGTGCCGCGCCTGTTCCGGGTGGCGTCCAAAGGCCACGGGGACCTTCTGGAGGTAAATCTGCAGAATGGCATTTTGTTTGTGAATTCTCGGATCGACCGGGAGGAGCTGTGCGGGCGGAGCGCGGAGTGCAGCATCCACCTGGAGGTGATCGTGGACAGGCCGCTGCAGGTTTTCCATGTGGAGGTAGAGGTTAAGGATATTAATGACAATCCTCCTATGTTCCCTGGAACACAGAAGAATCTATTTATGGCAGAATCCAGGCCTATTGACTCTCGGGTTCCACTAGAGGGCGCATCAGATGCAGATATCCGGGCCAACGCTATGCTGACCTACACACTGAGCCCCAATGAGTATTTCTCGCTGGAAAAACCGTCCGATCATGAGCGGGTGAAACGTCTTGGGCTACTGTTAAGGAAATCTTTAGACAGGGAAGAAGCTCCGGAGATTTTTTTAGTGCTCACTGCCACTGATGGCGGCAAACCTGAGCTGACTGGCACCGTTCAGTTACTCATCAAAGTGCTGGACGCCAATGACAACGCCCCAGCTTTCGACAGAACACTCTATGCCGTGAAATTACCAGAAAATGTTCCTAATGGAACGTCGGTAATGAAACTTAACGCCTCAGATTTAGATGAAGGCTCGAATGCGGACATTATTTATTCATTCTCAACTGATATTTTACCGAATGTGGAATCCAAGTTTCACATAGATCCACTTACTGGAGAAATTATGGTAAAGGGATATATCGATTTTGAAGAAAGCAAATCCTATGAAATTCTTGTGGAGGGTATTGATAAAGGACAACCCCCACTCTCTGGCCATTGTACAGTTATGGTGGAAGTTGAGGACACCAATGATAATGTCCCAGTAATGGAATTCACGTCTTTGTCGCTCCCAATCAGAGAAGACGCTCCATTAGGCACGGTCATCGCCCTCATCAGCGTGTATGACCTCGACTCTGGTGCCAACGGGCAGGTGACCTGCACCCTGTCACCCCATGTCCCCTTCAAGCTGGTGTCCACCTTCAAAAACTACTATTCTCTGGTGCTGGACAGCGCCCTGGACCGAGAGAGCGTGTCGAACTATGCTCTGGTGGTGACCGCACGCGACGCAGGCTCGCCTTCGCTCTCCGCCACGGCCAGCGTGTCCGTGGAAGTGGCGGACGTGAACGACAACGCGCCGGCATTCGCGCAGCCCGAGTACACGGTGTTCGTGAAGGAGAACAACCCGCCCGGCTGCCACATCTTCACGGTGTCTGCGCGGGACGCCGACGCGCAGGAGAACGCGCTGGTGTCCTACTCGCTGGTGGAGCGGCGCGTGGGCGAGCGAGCGCTGTCGAGCTACGTGTCGGTGCACGCGGAGAGCGGCAAGGTGTACGCGCTGCAGCCGCTGGACCACGAGGAGCTGGAGCTGCTGCAGTTCCAAGTGAGCGCGCGCGACGCGGGCGTGCCTCCCCTGGGCAGCAACGTGACGCTGCAGGTGTTCGTGCTGGACGAGAACGACAACGCGCCCGCGCTGCTGCCGCGGCCGGGGGCGGGCGGCGGCGCTGTGAGCGAGCTGGTGTCGCGGTCGGTGGGCGCGGGCCACGTGGTGGCGAAGGTGCGCGCGGTGGACGCCGACTCTGGCTACAACGCGTGGCTGTCGTACGAGCTGCGGCCGGCGGCGGGTGGCGCGCGCAGCCCGTTCCGCGTGGCGCTGTACACGGGCGAGATCAGCACGACGCGCACCCTGGACGAGGCGGACTCGCCGCGCCAGCGCCTGCTGGTGCTGGTGAAGGACCACGGCGAGCCGGCGCTCACGGCCACGGCCACTGTGTTGCTGTCGCTGGTGGAGAGCGGCCAGGCGCCCAAGGCGTCGTCGCGGGTGCTGGCGGGCGCCGCTGGCGCCGAGACGGCGCTGCTGGATGTCAACGTGTACCTGATCATCGCCATCTGCGCGGTGTCCAGCCTGTTGGTGCTCACGCTGCTGCTGTACACGGCGCTGCGCTGCTCGGCGCCGCCCGCGGAGGGCGCGTGCGCGCCTGGGAAGCCCACGCTGGTGTGCTCCAGCGCGGTGGGGAGCTGGTCGTACTCGCAGCAGAGGCGGCAGAGGGTGTGCTCCGGGGAGGGCCCGCCCCCGGCCCCGCCCCCGCCCGCGTCCAAGACCGACCTCATGGCCTTCAGTCCCAGTGTACCTGACTCTAGAGACAGAGAGGATCTGCCGCCAGTAACTGGAGATTCCCTTTCAAAGGTTAGTTTTAAATATCCTTTATTAAATCTGAATTTTTAATCTAATGTTTTATTTTCCTTTATTCTACCAATTTCTTCCTAATTAAAAAAAGTTCAGAATGAAATTTCCCTGACATGTTTTTTACTTCTTTTATACCCATTTTAGCTAATATCTTTCAGAATTATAGGACCCAAGGCAATATTTGTTGTGTTTTTTTTTTTAAATCTTCATTTTTTTTTAAAGATTATTTATTTATTTATTTATTTGAGAGAGAGAGAGAAACAGCATGAGAGGGGATAGGGTCAGAGGGAGAAGCAGGCTCCCCGCTGAGCCGGGAGCCTGATGTGGGACTCGATCCCGGGACTCCGGGATCATGACCTGAGCCGAAGGCAGTCGCTTAACCAACTGAGCCACACAGGCGCCCAAAAATCTTCATTATTCAATGCATATTTATATAACTAATGTTATACATTTTGTGCTTACCATCTTCACCTATTTATTTTCAGTTGTAATCACCTTTTAAGAGAACATTTTCCTTTTATTTGCCTATAATATGTCGAAAAGTGCCCAGATGTAATATAACTCAGTCATTTGAAAGTGAAAACTTATGTTACTTCCATTCCACTTAAGAAGCTACTTAAATGCACCTCCAAAATCACTTTCCCTTTTTCCCCCCAAATGTAGCCAGTTTTAACTTGATAACTGTTACTAATTTTTACCTGTTTCCTGAACTTTATCTAAATGGAATTGCACAAAATGTGTTAGTGTGTGCCTGTGTTTGTGTGTTCTTCGTATTTGTCATTCATCATTCTATGGAATCATCCCTATTGCCATGTGTAGTTGGAGTTCACTTAATTTGTTTTCTCTCTAGTAGTTTATTTTACCACTATAGTATCAGTTGTTTATCCCACTGTTGAGGATTTTGCATTGTTTCTCCTTATGTCTGTTTCAAATAATGCTGCCCTAAATATATTAAAAAATTTTTCAGTGCCCATGTGCACAATTTTCTCTATTATTTAAGTAAGATTGAAATTAGTAGAACATAAAATATATACATATATTCATCTTTAATATATCAAACAGCTTTCTCAAATGTTTTTACTCATTTACACTTGTGCTGGCAGTGTATTGCTCTACATCATCTCCAAAATTTGGCACTGTCAGATAGTTGCCATTTTGCTGGGTATGTTTAGTATTTCCATTTTATTTTTCCTGATTTATAAATGAAGTTGAGCCCCTTTCTTTATTATTATGGGCCATTTTTATATCTTATTTTGTACAATAGCTATTCAAGTCTCTGCCTATTTTTCTATTGTGGTGCATTTTCTATTGTTTTTCAAAATTTTCTATTGTTTTTCAAAATTTCTTATATTCTGGATATAACATCTTTCTTGCTTATGCATTCTTCTGCTCTTCATTAGTTTTTTGGTGAATAGAAATTTTTAATTTTAGTTATGTTCAATTTATCAATCTTTTCATCTTTATTCTGTGTCATGAAGATCATTTCTTTGGTATTTTTTGTTTCATGTTCATCTTAGATATACAATCCTTTTCCAGTTTTTTTTGTGTGTGTGACATAGGGGTCAAGATTAATTTTCCCTAATGACATTCAACTAAAGCAACATTTCTTAAAAGTGAATTCCATGTTTTTACAAAATAATTATCCATTCTATAGGTATGAACTTTTTTGTTGTTCTAATCTACTAGACTTAAAAAAGAAGGTTTTTAAAATCAATGCCATGTTTCCTCTTTTATTTCAACCAAAATTTGTATATAAATTCCATAAGAATAACTTAGGGAGGTTCTTATTTGGAATGCATTGAATCTAGTTAGAAATGTGGATTCCTGGGTGGCTGAGTAGGTTAAGCATCTGATTCTTGATTTCAGCCCAAGTCATGATCTCAGGGTCATGAAATTGAGCCCCACATTGGGCTCTGCACTGATCTTGGAGCTGCTTAAGATTCTCTCTCTCTTTCCCACTCCCTCTGCCCCTCCCCCCTTGTTCCTGCACACTCTCTCTCAAATTTTTTTAAAAAAGGTACATATGAATGTATATTGTGTTTTTGTATTGACATATTATCCAGCTAACTTGTTAAAATCATATTAATTCTAATAATTTATCTTTTGGTGCTTTGTATTTTTTGACATAGACAATCATGCCGTCAACAAATAATGATAGCTGTAACTTTTTCCTTCCCGATTCTTATACCCATTATATCTTTTGTGTGCTTTAATGGCATTGAGTTGGACACTAGTATTATGGTAAATAGAAATGGCAATACTGAGCAACCTTGTCTCATTTACGAAATCAAAGGAAAATTTTAAATAATTTATCTTTGGGCACCTGGGTGGCTCAGTCAGTTAAGCATCTCCCTTTGGCTCAGGTCATGATCCCAGGGTCCTGGGATTGAGCTCCCCCCATCTGCTTCTCCCTCTGCCCCTCTCCCTGCTTGTGCTCTCTCTCTTTCTCTCTCTCTCTCTCTCCCCTCTCAAATAAATAAAATCTAAAAAAAATAATTTATCATTATGTTTGGTGTAGTTTTTAAAAAAATCCTTAAAAATTCCTTCCTACTTCTCTTTCTTTTTTGTCTTTATCTGGATTGGTATATTTTAATTACTCATTTTCTCTACTATCTTTTCAATTATACAGTACATTCTTTTACTAATTTCTTTATTGATTTCCTGGATTTTAAAACAAGCATCACTGACTTGTTAAAATTTAAATTAAATTAGTGCTTTTACCACTCTCAGACAATGCTAAGACCTTGAATAATAACTCCATTTGTCTGCTTCCACTTTTGTTTGGTATATGCCTTTCAGTTATACATTTATTCTAGGCACAGATGACATTATTATCATCTTTTGTACACTTACATTTGTTTTTGTTTCTTTCTGGGATCATTTTTCCCCTGAAGAAATTCTTTAATATTTCTTTTAGTGGTGGTTAAGAATTCTCCAACTTTTTGTATATCAGAACTATGCTTATTTCATCATCACTTTTTTTTTTTAAGATTTTTACTTATGTATTTGTCAGAGAGAGAGAGCACAAGCAGGGGGAGCAGCAGAGAGAGAGGGAGAAGCAGGCTCCTCACTGAGCAGGAAGCCTGATGTGGGACTCGATCCCAGGACACTGGGATCATGACCTGAGCCAAAGGCAGACACTTAACGACTGAGCCACCCAGGCGTCCCTTCATCATCACTTTTTTTTTTTTAAAGATTTTATTTATTTATTTGACAGAGAGAGACACAGTGAGAGAGGGAACACAAGCAGGGGGAGTGGGAGAGGGAGAAGCAGGCTTTCCGCGGAGCAGGGAGCCCGATACGGGGCTGGATCCCAGGACCCTGGGATCATGGCCTGAGCCGAAGGCAGACACTTAACGACTGAGCCACCCAGGTGCCCCTCATCATCACTTTAGAAAAAGAGTTTTGCTGAGTATCAAATTCTGGGTTAGAAGTGATTTTTTTCCGAGCACTTTCAAGATGATATCCTTGAAATGAATGCCATTCTTGAAATAAATTGCTGTAAGTTTATTGTTCAGGTAGTGTGCCTTTTTTCTTTTCCTCCAGCTGCTTTTTTATAATTACTTAGTTTTTTATTTTCAGTGGCTTTATTATATGATCAATTTTCGTTTTCTTTGATTTTATCTTGTTTGCAGTATTGAAAGCCTCTTGAATATGTGGCTTGGTATCTTTCATCAGTGCAGAAAAATTTCAGCAGTCTGCCTTCAAATATCGCTTCTGCATCATGTTTTTTATCCTCTTCTTCTGTAATTCAAGGGATATGTATGTGAAACATTTTCACTATATCTCTCATATCTTCTATGCCCCTTTCTGTTTTTTTGAAGATAATTTTTGGTCTCTTTATTACATGCTGGATATTTGTTCTGACCAATCTTCTAAGTCAGCACTTTTCTCTTCTTAGTTCAATCTGCTAATAAAATCATGAATGTAATCTAAACTTCAATTGTGAAATTTTTTAGCTTTAGAATTCTAGCTTTCCTTTCTAAAATAGTTTCAGTTTTCTGGTGAAATTCTTTATTTTAGTATGTGTTTATTTCAATATAGTAATCACAGTTTATTTGTGCTCTATCAGATCACTGTAGTAAGTGGATAATATGTGTGCCTTTTTTATTGTGATATTTTTTTCTCATGATCCTCTTGCTTGGTAAGTCTGACAATTTTGTAGCGAATTCTGGATATTGTGCTTGAGAAGTTATAGTTGTTGTAGATGTCATTATTCTCCTTAAAATATGGATAATGGGGCACCTGTGTGGCTCAGTCGGTTAAGCAGCTGCCTTTGGCTCAAATCCTGATCCCAGGGTCCTGGGATAGAGCCCCGCATTGGGCTCCCTGCTCTGCAGAGAGCCTGCTTCTTCCTCTCCCTCTGCCTGCGGCTCTGCCTATCTGTGCTTTCTCTATGTCTCTGTCAAATAAATAAATAAAATCTAAAAAAATAAATAAATAAAAGATGGATAACATAAATATCTCATAGATATGGATTTAGGGCATTTATGGAAAAGTTTTAATTGAAATAAATATTTTATTTCTTTTCCTTTTTTATCTCCTATAATGATGTCTGTCATTACAAATTTTCTGAACATTTTTTTTCTTTCCCACTCACTTCCCAGTTCCATTTTGTAGTATGTGAAATAAAGTTAGTAGAATAAAAATTTTTTACTTTATTTGAAACTTTGTTTCTTCCTCCTCACCACTAGATCATAAGAACCAAGCTTATTGAAGTTTATTACTGTTTAATTACCCTGCTTTCTTCTTTTTCACCCTCGACACTGGTTAATGCTATAAGAATCATGCACCTCAGCAAGTTTCTACTGACTTGACCTAGGATTTTAAAACTGAATATAACCTAAAAGATCATAATTTCTCTCCATTAAGTGATGAATAAACTGTGGCTGAGACATAAAAAACTTGCTTGAGGCTACGTGGATATTATTATGAATACAGGTAATAGAACCAAAAGTTTTAAATTTTAGCTCTGTTGTCCCTTTCCACTTTTAAATGAGCCTATTTGGCAATAATAACGGCAATAGGATTGTGAGTAAAAACTATACTTAATGTACTTTACTTTTTCACTTAGAGGTACTTTGAAATTACTCTCAGATTTTTCTCCCCAGAGTGGATATAAAATATAAATATTTTAGCACAGTATTTTATAGGGAAATTGAACCATTAAAAAGTAATGTAAAGATATATACCATATGCACTAATGTGCTTTCATAGGATAATGTTTCATAATTAATTTTTTGGTCAAATTTGACACAGCTGCATAAATTATTTATAAATCTCTAAAAGATTGCTTCAACTTCACCTGTTGTTTCTGAGCAGCGTGGTAGACCTATGTGAATTTTTACAGATAGGAGAGAAATATAGCTTATTAAAATTTTATTCTGGAGTTTTGTAGGTAATGAAGGGCATCTAGATTCCAATGCAAAGTTAAATTTTCTAGTGTAACATCTTCTTGGAATGCTTCCCATTATATTAAGTAGAGATTCCTCAAAACTCTACCTGATTTTCTTAACCTAAATTCATGGTCAAGGAAGGAGTTTAATTTCTATGACAAGGTTTAAATATAATTAAAAATTTAAAGAAACTAGCAAGTGAAAAGATCAGTTAATAAGGTAATCTATAATATTTAATTGAAAGAATGGTTTGGAAAAAGATTTAAAGAATTTTCTCCACCTGTGGAGTTGTCTGTGGAATTAAGACCAGAGAGCCTATAATTGTTGAGAACTTAACCTCCTCCTAAACAGTTGAGCATTGAAAGACTAATGCAGGTGATAATTCAAAAACTTAATATTATCTAACAGATGTGAAGATGGGTCAAATGTCAAGAGTCTTGTTTTCTCTTGAAATATCTATATATTGGGGCACCTGGGTGGCTCAGTTGATTAAGCGTCTGCCTTTGGCTCGGGTCATCAACCCAGGGTCCTGGGATCGAGCCCTGTATTGAGCTCCCTGTTTGGCGGGGAGCCTGCTTCTCCCTCTCCCCTGCTTGTGCTCTCTCTCTCTCAAATAAATAAAATCTTAAAAAAATAAACATCTATGTATTTACATAAAAAATTACAAACTGAGGGGCGCCTGGGTGGCTCGGATGGTTAAGCGTCTGCCTTCGGCTCAGGTCATGATCTCAGGGTCCTGGGATCGAGTCCCGCATCGGGCTCCTTGCTCCTTGGGAGCCTGCTTCTCCCTCTGCCTCTCTCTCTCTCTCTGTCTCTCATGAATAAATAAATAAAATCTTTAAAAAAAATTACAAACTGAAAGAAGTATGTGAAACTGCTGATGCCATTTTTCCCATGTGTATATTTTCAAAATGTTGAAATATATACTGAAAATATTCTATCAATCACCATGCATACATAGTTAACATCACACTGTCGGTTTGGCTGTTAAATACTTGACATTCACTTTTTTCAAAAGTAAATTGATTTATAGCATGGTTTTGGAGTTTCACATCAGTCATGGTTCCACAATAGAAGGTAAATCAACCTTAACTGATGGTATTTTCAGCACATTTATTATCATTTTTGGTTTTTTTAGCTGTTGTGTATTAAAATGTTTTCAAATTATCATTATCGGTAAGAGATAAGTAATCTGGAAAATTGATTAATGTTCAGATTCTTTAGTGTTTGGGTGATCTGAATGCTGAGGGGAAAATGATGTTAGTAGAGAGAGTAAGAATCTTTGAAAAACTAAAGGGAATGATAAATGTACTGTTAAATATTATATAAGAAATGAATCCAGTAACATTATTCTAATTCTTTACTACTTTGAATACTGGGAAGCAAAAGTATTTCAATTGATTTTGTATTTTCTAGTAATTTCTTATCCTCACTATTCTTTATATTACCATTTTTCCATATTTGTTTTATACATTGACATAAAAATAATACAAGTCTCACATGAAACTTAAACCAAAAGTAAGGAATATATTTGGGGGGGTACCTGGGTGGCTCAGTTGGTTGAGCATCTGTCTTTGGCTCAGGTCATGATCCTGGCATCCTGGGATCAAGCCCCACATCAGGCTCCATGCTCAGCGGGGAGCCTGCTTCTCCCTCTCCCTTTGCCTGACTATCTGCCTACTTGTGATCTCTCTCTCTCTGTCAAATAAATAAATAAAATCTTTTTTTAAAAAAAGGAATATATTTGAGGTTTATGCTTTACATGTAAAAGTGTCAAGTAATAGAATTATTGATCTACTGGACCCAATGTCTTCATAGGTAAGGAGGCTTTTTAATATTTAAGGAATTCTAGGTAGTATATATACAAGCAGAATGTTGAATTTCTTTTCAGTGGAAAAAATTGGTGACATTTTCTTTTGGGACATTTTCTTCTGGCCATATTTATAAGTCTGGTATCATGCAGTAAATCAAAAGGATGATTAAAAAGAGATGAAATTAACATAGTCCAGTTAATAATGTGGTTTATTTTCAATATTTTAATTTTTACTGGAACCCAAACATTTTATGGAGTAGTATATCTACAGGAAAATATTAGTATTTAGATTTGCTGCATAAAAGCAAAGATATGTACTTTCAGTTTATATGAACTGTGATTTATCAGTTGAAGAAATGCTGCCTAGATACATCTAATTTGAAAAATGGTGTCAAGATACTGACCAAAAGTGTTTTTACTATGATTTTGACCTCTAGAAATTTTAAATCTCCACATACGAGTTTTTAGTCAACATTAAAATTAGGTGATATAGGGAGAAATTAAAGAAATGGATTTTTAGCACTTTAAATATCAGACTTCCAAACTGTAACTCACACAAGAATGCTATTCAAGTAGTTTGTTACTTTAAAGATAACATCAACAAAAAGCCAATATTAAATGATGCAAATAGAAATATAAATTTGTTTCATGAATAACATAGAAGTAGTGTACAAACATCCCATGAAAATAATAGAAAACACTCAAGAAATTTAACAAGATATATTTAAATATGGAAATAAATAGAAAACTAAAACCTTTAATTTTAGTTAGGAATTATATAAAGCCACTCCCTAAATAGAATAGACCAATACAAATTACTCTAGTAAAGACTGATGTGGCACGACTAAAGTAGCATTGATTTTGCAGTATTTTAATGAAAACTGATATTCTTTATTATAATCTTAACGATGTATTTAGAGATAAGGAAAATAAAGAATACCTAAAAGTCATTGAAATTGGGAAATATAAGGCAAATAAAACATAACAAAGTAAAAACTCACCCTTTCATCCACATGATGGCGCTGGAAACCGCAAGTTTGGTGGTTGGCTTCTCCCCCCCGCCCCTTTCCCAATAAAGGAATACAGTGTGTTAGTTTATTTTCCTTAGAAAGGAAAAGGCTACTCCTTTTTTTACTCTGATGCTGAGGCTGAAAAGGTGAGCAAATAAAAAATTATAGCAAATTGGGAATTAGGTTTACAAAAGCTATCGTGTGGTAGTGCAATAGACATTTAAAAATTGCAACGAATTTGCGATGGTATATTCCCAGAGAAGAAGTCCAGGTTCCCGGCGCCTGCTGCTCTCGCTTCTGCTCCTCGCAGTCTGGGAAGCTGGGAGCGGCCAGGTCCACTACTCGGTCCCGGAAGAGGTCAAACACGGCACCTTCGTGGGCCGCATCGCCCAAGACCTGGGGCTGGAGCAGGCGGAGCTGGTGCCGCGCCTTTTCCGAGTGGCGTCCAAAGGTCATAGAGACCTTCTGGAGGTAAATCTGCAGAATGGCATTTTGTTTGTGAATTCTCGGATCGACCGGGAGGAGCTGTGCGGGCGGAGTCTGGAGTGCAGCATCCACCTGGAGGTGATCGTGGACAGGCCGCTTCAGGTTTTCCATGTAGAGGTGGAGGTGAAGGACATTAACGACAACCCGCCAAGGTTTTTCCGACAGGAACAAAGATTATTTATTTTAGAGTCAAGAACAGTGGATTCCCGGTTTCCGCTAGAGGGCGCATCTGATATGGATGTCGGAGCAAACGCAGAATTGAGATACAAATTAAATCCTAATGAATATTTTGATTTGGATGTTAAAGCAAATGAAGAAGAAACAAACATTTTAGAGCTGGTCTTAAAGAAAGCAGTAGATCGAGAAGAAATCCAGGAACATCTTTTATTACTGACTGCAATTGATGGAGGAAAACCTGAACTAACAGGTACAGTTCAATTATTGATCAACGTATTGGATGCGAATGATAATGCCCCCAAATTTGGTAAATCAGTTTATAATATCAGATTATTAGAAAATGCACCGAATGGGACATTAGTTATTAAACTGAATGCCTCAGATGCAGATGACGGCATTAATAAGGAAATAGTATACCTCTTTAGTGATCTTGTTCTTGACAATGTCAAATCTAAATTTATAATCGATTCGAATAATGGGGAAATAACAGTTAAGGGAGAACTGGATTACGAAGACTGTAATTTATATGAAATTAATATTGATGCTGTAGATAGAAGTCCATTCCCATTAACTGGACACTGCAAAGTAATAGTAAAACTCCTAGATGAGAATGATAATACCCCAGAGATGGTCATAACTTCCATATCTCTGCCGGTCCAAGAGGACGCTTCAGTGGGGACTGTCATCGCCCTGATCAGTCTGTCCGACCGCGACTCTGGTCTCAATGGGCAGGTGACCTGCACCCTGTCACCCCGCGTTCCCTTCAAGCTGGTGTCCACCTTCAAAAACTACTATTCGCTGGTGCTGGACAGCGCCCTGGACCGAGAGAGCGTGGCGGACTATGAGCTGGTGGTGACAGCACGAGACGGGGGATCGCCTTCGCTGTCCACCACAGCTAGCATGTACGTTGAGGTGGCGGACGTGAACGACAACGCGCCGGCATTCGCGCAGCCCGAGTACACGGTGTTCGTGAAGGAGAACAACCCGCCCGGCTGCCACATCTTCACGGTGTCTGCGCGGGACGCCGACGCGCAGGAGAACGCGCTGGTGTCCTACTCGCTGGTGGAGCGGCGCGTGGGCGAGCGAGCGCTGTCGAGCTACGTGTCGGTGCACGCGGAGAGCGGCAAGGTGTACGCGCTGCAGCCGCTGGACCACGAGGAGCTGGAGCTGCTGCAGTTCCAAGTGAGCGCGCGCGACGCGGGCGTGCCTCCCCTGGGCAGCAACGTGACGCTGCAGGTGTTCGTGCTGGACGAGAACGACAACGCGCCCGCGCTGCTGCCGCGGCCGGGGGCGGGCGGCGGCGGCGGCGGCGCTGTGAGCGAGCTGGTGTCGCGGTCGGTGGGCGCGGGCCACGTGGTGGCGAAGGTGCGCGCGGTGGACGCCGACTCTGGCTACAACGCGTGGCTGTCGTACGAGCTGCGGCCGGCGGCGGGTGGCGCGCGCAGCCCGTTCCGCGTGGCGCTGTACACGGGCGAGATCAGCACGACGCGCACCCTGGACGAGGCGGACTCGCCGCGCCAGCGCCTGCTGGTGCTGGTGAAGGACCACGGCGAGCCGGCGCTCACGGCCACGGCCACTGTGTTGCTGTCGCTGGTGGAGAGCGGCCAGGCGCCCAAGGCGTCGTCGCGGGTGCTGGCGGGCGCCGCTGGCGCCGAGACGGCGCTGCTGGATGTCAACGTGTACCTGATCATCGCCATCTGCGCGGTGTCCAGCCTGTTGGTGCTCACGCTGCTGCTGTACACGGCGCTGCGCTGCTCGGCGCCGCCCGCGGAGGGCGCGTGCGCGCCTGGGAAGCCCACGCTGGTGTGCTCCAGCGCGGTGGGGAGCTGGTCGTACTCGCAGCAGAGGCGGCAGAGGGTGTGCTCCGGGGAGGGCCCGCCCCCGGCCCCGCCCCCGCCCCCGCCCAAGACCGACCTCATGGCCTTCAGCCCCAGCGTACCTCAGGGTCCCAGCTCTGCAGGCACTGTGAGTCTCAAAAATAATTTTCACAATAATTTTCGTTTTAAATCTTTAATATTTATTATTTCCCTCCATCTTTTTTATCTTTAATTATGTTTTTTTTTTTGTTCTTGAGAGTGAATGAGTTTATCAGCTCTTTCCTGAGAACAGTTTTTCAGAAAGAGGGTGAAGGGGTGCACAAAACGGCACCGAGCTCCTGGCCGAGCAGCAGGCCAAGGAAGCGAGAGGCAAAGAAAGCAGGGAGACAGGACACACGGAAGACACAGGGCAGCGCCTGGACAATCTGGCCTCAGCAAGCTGGCAGGCCCCAGGGGCTGAGGTGCGTGGCTCCAGGCCTCAGTGAGGGAGAGACATCACAGGCATTTAATAATGGTTTTATACTTGATTATTATCTCATCATTTCAGATGTAAGTTCTGTATTGGTACCAATTCATTTACTTAAAATTACAGTTATGCTTAGAATTCATTTTAATTTGTTGCAGATAATCGCTTTGCAGTAATGAATATATTTCAGTAACATTCCCTTTTTTAAGGTTTTCAAAGTTGGCATGAATGGATTACTTTTCTTTGCATGATAGAAATTGTTTCCTAAATCAAATTTTAATATTTTAATTTTTCAGTCTTTAGGAAATGTTGTAGGGAGATACTTGTATGACATATTTGGAGTTATTTACCTTCAAATCTCATATTGTGACTGCATTGAAATGTTTTAATATAGCTATGTCACTTTGCCTTTCTTTTCCATTGAATATCAGTTATTTTAGTGTTTTTTAACACCAAATTAATTTCCTTTTTATGTAATATTTGTACACTGAATTATTCTTTTAAGATTTCTCTAAACAGTTTTCTTTCGCATACTTATGATGAATTTGATATTTATGATTATTTTTTAACTGTAGTGGCTTCATTTATTTTTGAATATGAAATACACTTACATGGTTTACAATGTTACCCTTCCACCTCCAATATCAAGCCACTTAATATACCTCCTTGAACATTTCTAAGGTGTTTTTTTGTTTGTTTTTAAAGTAATATCTACACCGAAGGTGGGGTTTGAACTCACAACCCTGAGACAAGAGTCACATGCTCTATTGACTGAGCCAGCCAAGTGCCCGGTCTTCCTTGTCTATTTCAAACGTTGCAATTTCTTGATTATCTTTCCACAGATATTTTCTTTATATAGAAATAAGTACCCCTCTTCTATTTTAAAACATAATAGTCATATCGCTTTTCCTCTGTCTGTTTTACTTAATATATCTTGATAATCATGATGTATCAGTACTTGAGGATGTGTCACATTCCTTTTTCCAGATTTATGGTGCCCCACTTTGCAGATATATCATAATTTTTTCCCTTACCCTAACATCAACATTTAGTGGAACAATGATTAGTTTTTCTTTAACTTGCTTTTTTTTTTTTCAATTGACAAACTATTATATTGGTAAGAAGCAATTTTGAGCTCTCACAGTTGGGAAAATCTTAACATATTCAAATTAGATATTATTGGTATCTTTTGTTTTTTTTTATGATGTCATATATCAGTTATATTTCAATTTTAAAAATGCACACCAGGGGCACCTGGGTGGCTCAGTCGGTTAAGCGACTGCCTTTGGCTCAGGTCATGATCCCAGAGTCCTGGGACCGAGTCCCACATCAGGCTCCTGGCTCAGCGGGAAGCCTGCTTCTCCCTCTGACCCTCTCCCCTCTCATGCTCTTTCTCTCTCTCTCTCAAATAAATAAATAAATAAAATCTTAAAAAAAATAAAAATAAAAATGCACACCAAGGGGCGTCTGGGTGACTCAGTCGGTTAAGCGTCTGCCTTTGGCTCAGGTCATTATGCCAGGGCCCTGGGATGGAGCCCCACATGGGGCTCCCTGCTCGGTGGGGAGTCTGCCTCTCCCGCGCCCTCTGCCTCTCTCCTCAGGCTCCTGCTTGTGCTCTCTCTCTCTCTCTCCCCCTCTCAAATAAATAAATAAATAATCTTAAAAAAATAAAAATGCACACCAAATTTCAAAGATAGTACAAAACTAAAATGAAATATATTTCATCAGTACTTTCTAAAGTAATATTTACATGTTGAAACGGTAGTATTTGGATACATTCAGTTAAATAAAATATACTATTAAAATCTCATCTACTTGTTTTTACTTTTTAAGAATGTGGCAACTGGGTGCCTGGGTGACTCAGTCGGTTGTGTGTCTGACTCTTGGTTTTGGCTTAGGTCATGATCTCAGGGTCTTGGGATGAGCCCTGCCTCAGGCTGGGCACTGAGTGAGGAGTCTGCTTGGGATCCTCTCTGTTCCTCTCCCTCCTCTCCTCCTTCTCTGATCCCCCCTTGCATTCTCTCTCTCTAATAAAAAAAAATGGGGCTACTAAGGGACACCCTGCTGGCTCAGTAGGTAGAGTGAATGACTCTTGATCTCAGGGTTGTGAGTTTGTGTATATATATATATTTATATATATATTTATTTTTGTATATTTACATATACCACATCTTCTTTATCCACTCATCTTTTGGTGGTCACTTGAGATGCTTTTGTAATTTGGCTATTGTAATTAATCTGCAGTAAACATAGGGGTGCATATATCCCTTTGGCATAGTGTTCATATTCTTTGGGTAAATATCCAGTAGTGGAATTACAGGATCATATGGTAGTTCTATTTTTAATATTTTGAGGAGCCTCCATACAGTCTTCCATAGTGGCTGCGCCAGTTTGCATTCTCACCAACAGTGCATGAGGGTTCCTTTTTCTCCATATCCTCAATAACACCTATTGTTTCTTGTGTTGATTTTAGCCATTTTGACAGGTGTGAGGTGATATCTCATTGTAGTTTTGATTTGCATTACCCTGAGGATGAGTGATGTTGAACATCTTTTTATGTGTCTTTTGGCCATTTGGATGTGTTCTTTGGAGAAATATCTGTTCATGTTTGCCCCTCCCCACTGCTTGCTTGTGCTCTCTCTTGCTCTGCTGTCTCTTTCTCTCAAAATAAAAAAATAAAAACAATCTTTAAAAAAAGAGAGAACCATAGAAGGGGGGGAGGAAGATGTGGGTTCGGGAACACCTTCAGTGAAAGTCTTATTTGAAACATTGGAAGTGGATGAGAACACTTAAAGGAAAGCATATACAAAGTTGAGATTGAAAGAAAGGACGAGCTCATTTAGGAGCAGCTGAAGGATCAGAGCATCAAAGAATTATGGGTAGATATTCCATGAGAATTTGCAGTGATGAAATATGTGAAGGAAAATGTTTAGAGGGGGAGGAGGGGGAAATTTAGAAATGCTGTAAAGAATATGCACTAAAATTTTCTTCCATTATTAAGTAAAAGAAACAGCCTTAGGAGTATTTGATATTCATCAAATAAAGAAAGAATGGACTTCAATAATCTATAAGGTGTTAAAAATGTGGATAAAATTTGTTAATTTAAAATTACAGTCCATTCTTTCTCAGAGCAAAATAAAATAGCATGTCCTATAACAGAAATATATGCACGTTTCTTCTTTACACAAAGAGTGTAGTATAGCTTGCACTTCTAATTCCCAGACCTACTTCAGATCACAAATTTTCTGAACTGGTTGATAGCAGTAATTAAATTATTGCGAGAGGAGTTGTGTTGCTATGAATTATCTGATCCCTCATCCTACTCTAAATTAATAAAAGAAATTAGACGAGATGAAACTGGCTCTGCAAATTACGAACATAAGGAGATTTACTATTAAAGTAAGGCAAAATAAGAATTTCCTTTTTAACTTAAAGGACTACAGCTTAGCGCGGTTATGTGAATTCATTTCTTACCCTTTGTAGCCGCATGATGTCGCTGTCTACCATGAAGTCAATCTAGTCATTACAGTATGCAAAATCCATTCTTCCTATTACTGATTAGTTCCACCAGTGCTCAGTGATGGCAGGCGCAGAAGAATTGGATTAACAGACTCGGGATCATACAGATTTTATCTTAATTGCGAGGCAGGATCTTCTGATGGAAATAAAACAAGTATTTGAGATGGTTATTACCCTGGAAGGCCGACTGGGATCTCAGTATCTGCTGCTATCGCTTCTACTCCTTGCAGCGTGGGAGGAGGGCAGCGGCCAGGTTCAGTACTCGGTCGCCGAGGAGTCCAAACACGGCACCTTCGTGGGCCGCATCGCCCAGGACTTGGGGCTGGAGCTGGCAGAGCTGGTGCCGCGCCTTTTCCGAGTGGCGTCCAGAGGCCACGGGGACCTTTTGGAGGTAAATCTGCAGAATGGCATTTTGTTTGTGAATTCTCGGATCGACCGGGAGGAGCTGTGCGGGCGGAGCGCGGAGTGCAGCATCCACCTGGAGGTGATCGTGGACAGGCCGCTGCAGGTTTTCCATGTGGAGGTGGAGGTGAAGGACATTAACGACAACGCGCCGGTGTTCGGTTTAAAGGAACAAAGAGTGCTGATTTACGAATCAAGGCTGCCAGATTCTATGTTTCCACTAGAGGGCGCGTCAGATGCGGATGTTGGCTCGAATTCCCTCTTAACCTATAAACTCAGTCCCAGCGAATACTTCGCCCTAGATGTGAAAACAAACAGTGATGACAATACACAAATTGGGCTCGTGTTAAGGAAATCCTTGGACAGAGAGGAAGCTCCCGAACATAACTTACTGCTGACAGCCACTGACGAAGGCAAACCTGAGCTCACTGGCACTGTTCAGCTGCTGGTCACTGTGCTGGACGTGAATGACAATGCTCCCAGTTTCGAACAGACTGAATATGAAGTAAGGATCTTCGAAAACTCGGGCAACGGAACAATAGTCATCAGACTGAATGCTTCTGATCAGGATGAAGGAGTGAATGGGGAAATTTCATACTCTTTTAATAGTCTTGTTCCAACCATGGTTAGAGACCAGTTTAGAATAGATACAAATACTGGAGAAATAGTAACTAAAGGGAATTTAGATTTTGAAAAATTGAATTTATACAAAATTCGTGTTGACGCGACGGACAAAGGCCACCCACCCATGGCTGGACATTGCACTGTTTTATTGAAAGTTTTGGATAAAAATGATAATGTCCCTCAGATTGCATTGACTTCCTTATCCTTGCCTATCCGAGAAGACGCTCAATTAGGTACTGTTATTGCCCTAATTAGCGTGTCAGATCTCGACTTCGGTGCCAACGGGCAAGTGACCTGCTCACTAACACCTCATGTCCCCTTCAAGCTGGTGTCCACCTTCAAAAACTACTATTCGCTGGTGCTGGACAGCGCCCTGGACCGAGAGAGCGTGGCGGACTATGAGCTGGTAGTGATAGCGCGGGACGCAGGCTCGCCTTCGCTCTCCGCCACGGCCAGCGTGTCCGTGGAAGTGGCGGACGTGAACGACAACGCGCCGGCATTCGCGCAGCCCGAGTACACGGTGTTCGTGAAGGAGAACAACCCGCCCGGCTGCCACATCTTCACGGTGTCTGCGCGGGACGCCGACGCGCAGGAGAACGCGCTGGTGTCCTACTCGCTGGTGGAGCGGCGCGTGGGCGAGCGAGCGCTGTCGAGCTACGTGTCGGTGCACGCGGAGAGCGGCAAGGTGTACGCGCTGCAGCCGCTGGACCACGAGGAGCTGGAGCTGCTGCAGTTCCAAGTGAGCGCGCGCGACGCGGGCGTGCCTCCCCTGGGCAGCAACGTGACGCTGCAGGTGTTCGTGCTGGACGAGAACGACAACGCGCCCGCGCTGCTGCCGCGGCCGGGGGCGGGCGGCGGCGCTGTGAGCGAGCTGGTGTCGCGGTCGGTGGGCGCGGGCCACGTGGTGGCGAAGGTGCGCGCGGTGGACGCCGACTCTGGCTACAACGCGTGGCTGTCGTACGAGCTGCGGCCGGCGGCGGGTGGCGCGCGCAGCCCGTTCCGCGTGGCGCTGTACACGGGCGAGATCAGCACGACGCGCACCCTGGACGAGGCGGACTCGCCGCGCCAGCGCCTGCTGGTGCTGGTGAAGGACCACGGCGAGCCGGCGCTCACGGCCACGGCCACTGTGTTGCTGTCGCTGGTGGAGAGCGGCCAGGCGCCCAAGGCGTCGTCGCGGGTGCTGGCGGGCGCCGCTGGCGCCGAGACGGCGCTGCTGGATGTCAACGTGTACCTGATCATCGCCATCTGCGCGGTGTCCAGCCTGTTGGTGCTCACGCTGCTGCTGTACACGGCGCTGCGCTGCTCGGCGCCGCCCGCGGAGGGCGCGTGCGCGCCTGGGAAGCCCACGCTGGTGTGCTCCAGCGCGGTGGGGAGCTGGTCGTACTCGCAGCAGAGGCGGCAGAGGGTGTGCTCCGGGGAGGGCCCGCCCCCGGCCCCGCCCCCGCCCGCGTCCAAGACCGACCTCATGGCCTTCAGCCCCAGTCATCCACGCTGTCTTGTAGTGGGTGATATGAGCGAGCAACAGGATTTAAATGATGAGCATTGTGCCAAGGTAAGTCTGAATTGTCATAATTAACAGTTAATACATACATGAAATATCAAATTGTTTCCTTAGAATTTCTCTTTACATTTTCATTTTTAAAAATTTGAATAAATTTACTTACTATAATCTGTTCATTTTTTCTGTTAACTATTGTAATCTATGTAGTTTGTTATTAGTCTTAATTTAAACTGGAATCAGACATTATACCTATTTGTGGTGCATTTTTAATATGCATAAGTAGTAGTATTTTTTCTAATTATTTATATAGAATTTTCACTTCTTTGCATTTGATCCAAATAGTGGTTAAATAGAAATTCAAGGGAACTTGCACTTTGATCAAGTAATTCATATAAAATCTGTATTCCTCAGACACTGCAAATCTCTTATGTTTGAATTTTATTTGGTGTGTTGCTTTTCATGGAGATATTTCTTCTTTTTAAAAAAGTTTGTATTTGGGCGCCTGGGTGGCTCAGTGGGTTAAAGTGTCTGCCTTCGGCTCAGGTCACGATCCCAGGGTCCTGGGATGGAGTCTGCATGGGACTCCCTGCTTGCTTGCTCTCTTTCTCTCTCAAAAATAAAGATTAAAACAAATTTTTACTTAAATTCCAGTTAATTAACATACAGTGTTATGTTAGTTTTAGGTGTAAAATTTAATGATTCAGCACTTTCATGCAACATCCGGTGTTCATCACAAGTGGACTCCTTAATTGGGGTCCTCTGTTTAACCCATCACCCACCCACCTCCCCTCTGGTAGCCATCAGTTTGTTCTCCATAGTTTAGAGTCTGTTTCTTGGTTTGCCTCTCTCACCTCTTTCTCTTTCGCTCTTTTTCCCTCTTTGCTCATTTGTTTTGTTTCTTAAATTACACATGAGTGAAATCATATGGTATTTGTCTTTCTCTGACTGACTTATTTCACTTAGCATAATACCCTCTAGCTCCATCCACGTTGTTGAAAATAGTAAGATATCATTTTTTATGCTGAGTAATATTCCATTGTGTGTGTGTATATGTGTGTGTTTGTGTGTGTGTGTGTGTATATATATATATATATACACACACACAACATCTTCTTCATCCATTCATCAGTCACTAGACACCTGGGCTGTTTCCATTTTTGGCTATTGTGGATAATGCTGCTATAAACATCAGGGTGCATGTATCCCTTTGAATTAGTATTTTTGTATCCTTTGGGTAAATACCCAGTAGTGCAATTGCTGGATGGTAGGGTAGTTCTGTTTTTTAACCTTTTGAGGAACCTCCATGCTGTTTTCTAGAGTTGGCTCCACCAGTTTGCATTCCCTCCTACACTGAAAGAGTGTTCCTCTTTCTTCCCATCCTGGCCAACACCTGTTGTTTCTTGTGTTGCTGATTTTAGCCATTCTGATGGGTGTGAGGTGATATTTCATTGTAGTTTTGCTTTGTATTTCCTTGATGATGAGTGCTGTTGAGTGAGTATTTGTCATGTGTCTCTTGGCCATCTGTGTGTCTTCTTTGAAAAATGTCTATTCATGTCATCTGCCAATTTTTAAGTGGATTTTTCATTTTTGGGGTGTTGAGTTCTATAATACTTAATATATTTTGGATACCAACCCTTTATCACGTGTCATTTGCAAATATCTTCTCCCATTCTGTAGGTTGCCTTTTAGTTTTGTTGATTGAATCCTTCACTATTTAGGAGCTTTTTATCTTGATGAAATCCCAATAGTTTTTGCTTTTGTTTCTCTTGCCTCAGGAGATATATCTAGAAAGAAATTGCTATGCCCACGCCAAAGATGTTACTGCTTGTATTCTCTAGGATTTTTATGGTGTCAAGTCTCACATTTAGGTCTGTAATCCACTTTGAATCTATTTTTGTGTAAGAAAATGGTCCAGTTTCATTCTTTTGCAGGTTGCTATCCAGTTTTTCCAGTACCCTTTGTTGAAGAGACTGTCTTTTTCCCATTGAATATTCTTTCCTGCTTCGTTGAAGATTAATTGATCATATAATTGTGGGTTCATTTCTGGGTTTTCTGTTGTGTTCTGTTGGTCTCCATGTCTGTTTTTGTGCCGATACCATACTGTCTTGATCACTACAGCTTTGTAATATAACTCAAAGTCCGGAATTGTGATGCCTCCAGCTTTGTTTTTCAAGCTTGCTTTGGCTATTCAGGGTCTATTTTGGTTCCGTACAAATTATAGGATTGTTTTTCTAGCTGTGTGAAGAACGCCGCTGATATCTTGATAGGGACTGCATTAAATGTGTAGATTGCTTTGGGCAGTATTGACATTTTAACAATATTTGTTCTTCCAATCCATGAGTAGGGATTATCTTCACATTTTTGTCATCTTCAATTTCTTTCATCAGTGTTTTACAGATTTCAGAGTCCACGTCTTTCTCCTCTTTGGTTAGGTTTATTCCTAGGTATCTTATTGGTTTTGGTGAAGTTGTAAGTGGGATTGATTACTTAATTTCTTTCTGCTGCTTCATTATTGGTATATAGAAATGCAACAGATTTCTGTATGTTGATTTTGTATTCTGCGACTTCACTGAATTCATTTATCAGTTCTAGGAATTTTTTGGTGGAGTCTGTTGGGTTTTCTATATAGAGTATCATGTCATCTGCAAATAATGAAAATTTTATTTCTTCCTTGCCGATTTGGATGCCTTTTATTTCCTTTTGTTTTCTGATTGCTGTGGTTGGGGCTTCCAGTACTATATTAAGTAATAGTGGTAAGAGTGGACATCCTTGTCTTGTTCTTCACCATAGAGGAAAAGCTTTCAGTTTTTCCTCATTAAGGATGATATTATCTGTGGGTTTTTCAGTTGAGGTATGTCCCCGCTAAACCTACTTTGCTGAGGGTCTTTATCATGAATGGATGTTGTACTTTGTCAGATGCTTTTTCTGCATCTAATGAAAAGACCATATGGTTCTTATTTTTTCTTTTATTAATGTGGTGTATCATGTTGATTGATTTGTAAAAATTGAACCACTCTTTCAACCCAGAAATAAATCTTACTTGATCATGGTGAATGATTTTTTAATGTATTGTTGGATTTGGTTTGCTAGTATCTTATTGAGAATTTTTGCATCCATGTTCATTGAGAATATTGGCCTGTTGTTCTCTTCTTTAGTGGAGTCTTTATCTGGTTTTGGCATCAGGGTAATGCTGGCCTCATAGAATAAGTTTGGAAATTTTCCTTCCTATTCTATTTTTTGGAATAGTTTGGGAAGAATAGGTATTAACTCTTCTTTAAATGTTTGGTAGAATTTGCCTTGAAGCCATCTGGCCCTGGACTTTTGTTTGTTGGGAGTTTTTTGATTACTGATTCAATTTCTCTTTTTTTTTTAAAGATTATTTATTTATTTATTTGAGACAGAGAGAATGAGAGACAGAGAGCATGAGAGGGAAGAGGGTCAGAGGGAGAAGCAGGCTCCCTGCCGAGCAGGGAGCCCGATGCGGGACTCGATCCCGGGACTCCAGGATCATGACCTGAGCCGAAGGCAGTCGCTTAACCAACTGAGCCACCCAGGCGCCCCTTTTTTTAAAGATTTTATTTATTTATTTGAGAGAGAGAGACTGAGAGAGAGAGAGCATGAAAGGGGGGAGGGTCGGAGGGAGAAGCAGACTCCCCGCCGAGCAGGGAGCCCGATGCGGGACTCGATCCAGGGACTCCAGGATCATGACCTGAGCCGAAGGCAGTCGCTTAACCAACTGAGCCACCCAGGCACCCACTGATTCAATTTCTTTACTGGTTATTGGTCTGTTCAAGTTTTCTAGTTCTTCCTGTTTCAGTTTTGGTAGTTTATATGTTTCTAGGAATTTATCCATCTCTTCCAGGTTGTCCAATTTGTTGGCATATAGTTTTTCATGATATTCTCTTATAATTGTTTGTACTTCTGTGGTGTTGGTTATTTCTCCTCTCTCATTTGTGATTTTTTTCATTTGGGTCTTTTCTCTCTTCTTTTTGCTAAGTCTGGCTAGAAGTTTATCAATTTTATTAATTTTTTCAAAGAACCAACTTCTGGTTTCATTGATCTGTCCTATTACTTTTTTAGTTTCTCTATCCATTTATTTCTGTTCTAATGTTTGTTATTTCCCTGTTTCTGCTGGCTTTGGGATTCATTTGTTGTTCTCTTCTAGCTCTTTTAGGTGTAAGGTTAGGCTATTTGTTTGAGATTTTTCTTGATTCTTGAGGTGGCCTGTATTACTATATACTTCCTTCTTAAGACTGCTTTTACTGCATCCCAAAGGTTTTGGACCATCGTGTTTTAATTTTCACTTGTTTCCATGTACTTTTTAAAATCTCTTCTTTGATTTCCTGGTTGACCCATTCATTGTTTAGTAACATACTGTTTGACCTCCATGTATTTGTGGTCTTTCCAAATGTTTTCTTATGGTTGACTTGTAGTTTAATAGCATTGTGGTTAGAAACGTTGCATGGTATGATTTCAATCTTCTTGTATTTGTTGAGGACTGATTTTTGACCCAGTTTGTGATCTATTCTAGAGAATGTCAAGCCCCACATCAGGCTCCATGCTCAGTGTGGAGTTTGCTTGAGATTCTCTTTCTCCCTAAATCAATCAATCAATCAATCAATCAATCAATCAATCTGTTTTTAAAATAGAGAAGTTTTCTCTGAGAGAATACTGAACATGATGGGCATTCTGGGAACAGACCAACTTAAGTAAATGAGTACACAGAAAATCCCAATGTGGCTAGACACAGAATAGTCTGCTTTGGTCAAAACATATGGTTCTTACAAGAAAGAGTATGAGATAAGACAGGAAAAGTAATATGAGAAAAAGCTCTTGGGTAAGTTAGAGTACTTGACTAAGAAATTTTGACTCACCTCTAAAGTCATCTGAAAACTAAAAGTGTGAAACAACAGGAATAAAAGGTGTGTTTCAGGAAGATGACTGTCAGGATTTAGTGAAGGATAAATGGGGTTGTGGCAAGATAACACAATAAGAAGCTATTGAAATAATCCAGGATAGCAGCAATATTTAAAACTCATTTAGGCACAGTCAGGAGGCAGAAGCACAGTGGAAGGCCAGAAGATTGTGGAGCCTCATGTTGGGCTCCGTTTGGTGGCCTCTAAGTGGTGCCCCCTTTGAGAATGCCATCCCAAAGCAAGGAAATCCCAGGTGCACTTGTGGCCTTGGTGATTAGTGCCAACTCACTGCCACTGAACATAGTTGGAACAGAAAATTGGAACAGGGTAGCAAACCCTTCAGAACTAGGTTTTCAAAACAAAAACAGAATTGCAATCTTGGCAGAACTGGGCAATGAGGAAAGAAAATTACTAGTGTAACCAATCTTCAACCAAATCATCCTGGAGCTAGGGATGCACTCTGGAGACCCTTTCTTAAAAAGGACTTTCAGAGGCACCTGGGTGGCTCAGTCAGTTAAGTGTCTGACTCTTCATTTCAGCTGACGTCATGATCTCAGGGTCATGAGATGGAGCCCAGTGTGGAGCCTGCTTAAGATTTCCTCTCTCCCTCTGTCCTTCTCCCACCCATGCTCTTGCATGCACATGCTCACATGCTCTCTCTGAAAAAAAAAAAAAAAAAGACTTCCAGGTCATGCTGAGCAGCAGAATATTACAGCCCAACAAAAGGTAGCTTTGCAGCATGCATGTGCACATTCATCTGGCTGTTTCATAACTCTAGACTCTGCATTTGGGAATCATATTCTTCCTATTTTACTTCATCTTGACCTAGAATGAAGGAAATATTTGTAATGAAAGTGACTGTAATATCAAATGCCAAAACTACTATCATTCAGAATGATATTGTCATTCAGAATTGAATTCAGTGACTTCCAGAGTTTTGGTGAATATTTATATTCTTTGCTTATTTAAAAGAAAGGTATGTGTAAGTCAAAACAGAAAAGGAGGGTCACCAGGATTTGTGAGCTTTGGAAGCTGTATTATCTGAGTGACTTACTATGTTACCCATGTGTAACTTTTTTGTAATGTAGTTTGATTTTTTAACTCTAAATCAGGCTCTGATTTGGATGGTCACATAATTCACCCCTGCAGCCCCCAACTAGTTGGACTAATATGTCCACAATAGATTTTCAAGAACCACTTTAGTACTTAAGTTTAAACAAATGAGGATGCTTTAAAAAATGTGAACCAGTAAGCTTAAATAAGTTATATTCATATTTACTGTTTGTAGAATTGATATTAATGTACCTTTTGAGTTTATAGTCAACATGCCATCCTGAAATACTGTTTAACTCATAACTAGCTCCCTTATTCCCCATTTTAAAAGGAAATCTAAGTTAAGACTAAGACTACCAATCAGTCTTTATAAAAATGTTTATAAAGCTATGCCACTATACATTATATGACTAAATGGTATTAAAGACAATTATGAGAAATGTGGTTTTAAAATTTGTACCTGCTCTTATTTAGTGTTACTACATAAATGGTATGCCTATGTGGTTTTATTGTCCATTTTTGTGCTAATTAAAAACATGCAAGTTGGAAAAAACTCATTTAGGCAGATATCAAAATTGGAAAGCAATACAGGTGTAATTATCTAATTTGCACTTGGAAACAAAGGAATGAGACATTCAAGAAAATTTATTCTGTGAAGTAAAGTAAAAAAGGATAAAACCACCCCAAGCTTGATTAAAGGACTGCTCTAAGTATGACAAATGAGTACCAATATTTTTCTAATGAAATAAATTTATGTTATGAAATAAATAATCTAAATTAAATTGGAGGTTGTAAAAACAGGTACATACTCATAAAATGTGGAGCTTAGAAAGGATGGAAAGAATAAAGAGATAAGAACCATGAACTTTTGGAACAGAGTTTATAAATTCTGATGAAAAGAGAAATTCAGATACTTCTTCCATGCAAAATTCACTTAATACAAATTATTCCTCTTCAAAGATCCCCTAAACCATCTATTATTGTGTTTTCTCAGGAGAACTATATGAATTAGTTGCTTTTATCCCGTTTCCTAAAAACAAACACCCCTTCTAAATTTTTCTTCCATTAGTAACTACTTGAGACCAAGAGTTTTCTTAACAGAAATCTAAGAAAATGGAGTTACCTGAACTCTGAACAAAATATTTGAAAACTTAGTGTTCCGCTGTGTGATTCGCTTTATTGTCAGATTTTTGTTTTTATTTAAAACTGAGAAAATGTGTTTTCAAGGCATAAGGAGACTACAGTTATGGTTACACTAAATATTTAGAAGTTAAGTCTCTTAATACGAGAAGTGTTGTCCTGTGCTTTAACAAAACTGAAGGAGAAAAAAATCAGGGTTTAAAATAAAACTTCATATTTATTAATAACAAGTTGATATTTGTAGCTCATACTTACTGTTTGGCCACATGATGTCGCTCTTTACCGCGAAATTTTCTCATTCAAGACACAATTAAGTCATCCGTTTTCATATTGGAAAGACTTCACTCTGTTTCTCTAAGCGGATGTTGAACAATGGCGAGCACTTCATGATAGTAAGAAGAGATAAGAGGATTCCTCCAAATTTTGAGACAAGTTACTATTTGAATTAAAAAAAAAAAAACAATTAATTTGAAATGGTGGACTCGAATCGAGGCGACCGGGGGCACTGGCATCTACTGCTGTTTTTCAAAATCCTCATAGCCTGGGAGAGCGCGAGCGGCCAGGTCCACTACTCGGTCCCGGAGGAGGCCAAACACGGCACCTTCGTGGGCCACATCGCCCAGGACTTGGGGCTGGAGCTGGCGGAGCTGGTGCCGCGCCTTTTCCGAGTGGCGTCCAAAGGCCACGGGGACCTTCTGGAGGTAAATCTGCAGAATGGCATTTTGTTTGTGAATTCTCGGATCGACCGGGAGGAGCTGTGCGGGCGGAGCGCGGAGTGCAGCATCCACCTGGAGGTGATCGTGGACAGGCCGCTGCAGGTTTTCCATGTGGAAGTAGAGGTGAAGGACATTAACGACAATCCTCCTGTATTCCCCGAGACACAAAAGAATCTGTTTATTGCAGAATCCAGGATGCTTGACTCTCGGTTTCCACTAGAGGACGCTTCTGATGCAGATATCGAGGAGAACGCTCTGTTGACTTACAGACTGAGCCCCAACGAGTTTTTCTCTCTGGACGTACCAACAAATGACGAACAGGTAAAACCTCTTGGACTTGTATTACGGAAATCTTTAGACAGGGAACAGTCTCCAGAACTTCATTTAGTGCTCACAGCCACTGATAGAGGCAAACCTGAGCTGACTGGCACCGTTCAGTTACTCATCAAAGTGCTGGACGTCAATGACAACGCCCCAGCTTTCGACAGAACACTCTATGCCGTGAAATTACCAGAAAATGTTCCTAATGGAACTTTGGTAATTAAACTTAACGCCTCAGATTTGGATGAAGGCTCGAATGCGGATATTATTTACTCGTTCTCTAGTGGTGTTTCCCCAGATATAAAATCTAAGTTCTACATAGATGCCATAAGTGGAGAAATTATAGCAATAGGACATATCGATTTTGAAGAAAGCAAAACCTACAAACTTCGAGTAGAAGCGATCGATAAAGGCTACCTACCACTAGCTGGTCACTGTACAGTTCATGTGCAAGTTTTGGACGCTAATGATAATGCTCCAGAGTTGACTGTTACTTCCCTGTCTCTCCCTATCTCAGAGAATGCTCAACCGGGCACAGTCATCACCTTGATTAAGGTGTTTGACCGAGATTCTGGAGCTAATGGGGAGGTGACCTGCTCACTAACACCTCATGTCCCCTTCAAGCTGGTGTCCACCTTCAAGAATTACTATTCGCTGGTGCTGGACAGCGCCCTGGACCGAGAGAGCGTGGCGAACTATGCTCTGGTGGTGACCGCACGCGACGCAGGCTCGCCTTCGCTCTCCGCCACGGCCAGCGTGTCCGTGGAAGTGGCGGACGTGAACGACAACGCGCCGGCATTCGCGCAGCCCGAGTACACGGTGTTCGTGAAGGAGAACAACCCGCCCGGCTGCCACATCTTCACGGTGTCTGCGCGGGACGCCGACGCGCAGGAGAACGCGCTGGTGTCCTACTCGCTGGTGGAGCGGCGCGTGGGCGAGCGAGCGCTGTCGAGCTACGTGTCGGTGCACGCGGAGAGCGGCAAGGTGTACGCGCTGCAGCCGCTGGACCACGAGGAGCTGGAGCTGCTGCAGTTCCAAGTGAGCGCGCGCGACGCGGGCGTGCCTCCCCTGGGCAGCAACGTGACGCTGCAGGTGTTCGTGCTGGACGAGAACGACAACGCGCCCGCGCTGCTGCCGCGGCCGGGGGCGGGCGGCGGCGCTGTGAGCGAGCTGGTGTCGCGGTCGGTGGGCGCGGGCCACGTGGTGGCGAAGGTGCGCGCGGTGGACGCCGACTCTGGCTACAACGCGTGGCTGTCGTACGAGCTGCGGCCGGCGGCGGGTGGCGCGCGCAGCCCGTTCCGCGTGGCGCTGTACACGGGCGAGATCAGCACGACGCGCACCCTGGACGAGGCGGACTCGCCGCGCCAGCGCCTGCTGGTGCTGGTGAAGGACCACGGCGAGCCGGCGCTCACGGCCACGGCCACTGTGTTGCTGTCGCTGGTGGAGAGCGGCCAGGCGCCCAAGGCGTCGTCGCGGGTGCTGGCGGGCGCCGCTGGCGCCGAGACGGCGCTGCTGGATGTCAACGTGTACCTGATCATCGCCATCTGCGCGGTGTCCAGCCTGTTGGTGCTCACGCTGCTGCTGTACACGGCGCTGCGCTGCTCGGCGCCGCCCGCGGAGGGCGCGTGCGCGCCTGGGAAGCCCACGCTGGTGTGCTCCAGCGCGGTGGGGAGCTGGTCGTACTCGCAGCAGAGGCGGCAGAGGGTGTGCTCCGGGGAGGGCCCGCCCCCGGCCCCGCCCCCGCCCAAGACCGACCTCATGGCCTTCAGCCCCAGCCTTCCTCCGTGTCCTGGATCTCTAAATGCGACGGAAGATCCACAAGCTTCTTTGGAGTCCTCTGGAAAGGTGGGTTGCTCAAATATTTTATTCATTTATGTATTTATTTTTGAAATGTGAGACATTCTTATTTTCAGACGGTGCTTTTAAATAGTTTTTACTCATTTATTCTAGAGATCTGCCAATATTTTCTTATTTATTATTCGGAAGTTGAATATTTTAAGTTTATACCTGCCTTTTGTATTTTGACTTCCAATTACAAATCATTAAAATCCATACATTGAGTAAATATTTATACGGTGCTGAAATCAATTTTATTTAAAACCTGCCATGGGAATCATATTGAATTCCTAAAGCTGCGCTGCCACTGTACCTGGAGACTATTCAGTGAAAAACAACTTAATTGCTACACATTAAGCATACTTCAACACCAGTCTATCATTTATTAATTTCTTTTTAAAAAAAAGATCTTACTGATTTATTTGAGAGCGCGCGCGCGAGAGAGAGCGTGGGCGCGTATGAGAGAGGGGAGTGGCATAGTGAGAAGAAGGACCAGAGTCCCAGCTGAACAGGGAGCCGATGTGGGGGCTGGATCCCAGGAACCTGGGATCATGACCAGAGCAAAAGGTAGACGCTTAAGCGCTTAGCCGCTTAACTGACTGAGCCACCCAGGTGCCCCTCATTTCTAAAGTTTACATGGTACTTTAGTATATAATCTATTGTTTATAAGAAATCCCAAAGCGGAAATACGTAACTGTGATTTTCTACCTTTCTCTGGATGGAGACTGGAGACATGTTTGGCCAGCACTACTCAGTGTTTATTATTTCAATGAATAAATTTCAGTATACCCTAGAAAACTGTTACTTTACCGTAGTAATCTAATTCTGACAACAAATGTTAGAAAAATAATTCATTCCAACTTTTTTTTTGAAGATTTTTATTTATTTGACAAAGAAAGACACAGCAAGAGAAGGAACACAAGCAGGGGGAGTGGGAGAGGGAGAAGCAGGCTTCCAGATGAACAGGGAGCCTGATGTGGGGCTGCATGACAGGACCCTGGGATCATGACCTGAGCCGAAAGCAGACATTTAACGACTGAGCTACCCAGATGCCCCTCATTCCAATTTTTGTAAAACATGTTTCTATATGCTTGACAGTGTATTGATTGAGAATCTTTTTTACATTTAGAAAATTTCTTAAAATTGATCTTCTATCTGATATTGCAGAAAATACTTCCTGAGAGGTACTTTCTTTCTTCAGAAGACTTTCTCCTTTTTACTGAAATTTTTGTTAGTATACATGTTTGTACATTGCAGATATATGTACATTCTACACTTTGAATTCTCTTGAAATTCAGTCTATAACTTTAAAAAGTTACCCCTATCAGTGGAGATGTTGATTTACTTTTTCTCTCAATATTCTGAAAGACAGAAATCTGGAGATGAATCAATTGCACCTTTAAACTCATTACATGTTAAACTTATATTTCCTGAATTGTGGCATGTGACTTTCAGATTGGTGGTACTTCACACTCTGTCTTTAGTCCAAGTTTTTGTTTTCTAATTTATATTTTAGAAACTTGGTACTTATTTTAAAATTTTGTTATGTGACTTATTTTTCTATTCTAGTATTTTTATTGTGTTAGATTTTTAACAAGGTATTCCTTAATTAAAACCTCAGCAGAGCAAAATCAGAGTAGCTTTGAGAATAGAGCCACAATAAAACCATAAAAGTGCAAGTAAAATACACTTAAATAATATATTTCAGTAACTTTTTCTTTTCCCTTATAGAGGACATGTTTGGTATATGTTATAAAGCAATCTATTTTCTTTTCATTATATATATATTTTAAAAAGATGTATTTGTTTATTTATTTTAGAGAGAAAGCAAGCAAGCAAGCTTGGGGTGGGGGCAGAGGGAGAGGGAGAGAGAAACTTTAGTTGACTCCTTGCTGAGCCCAGAGCCCAACACAAGGCCAATCTCAAGACCCTGGGATCATGACCTGACATGAAATCAAGAGTCCACCGCTCAACCAACTGTGCCCCTCCTGGGGCCCCTCTTTTCATTATATTTCTTTCAAAACTTGAGTATTCTCAGGGCACCTGGGTGGCTCAGTTGGTTAAGCAACTGCCTTCCCGCTCAGGTCATGATCCTAGAGTCCTGCTATTGAGTCCCACGTTGGGCTTCCTGCTCAGCGGGGACTCTGCTTCTCCCTCTGACCCTCCCCTCTCTCATGCTCTCACTCTCTTTCTCTCATTCTATCTCTCTGTCTCTCAAATAAATAAATAAATAAATAAAATCTTAAAAAAAAAAACTTGAGTATTCTCTGACCTCCTGTGATCAATCCTGTCCATGTCTGTCAGCATATTCACCTTAAATCCAGACTTATATCTTCAAATATCTCTTTCGGTGTACTTTTTCATGTGCAAGGACACCTGAATCAGAATTTGAATGGACTTTAACCTAAGGTCAGTCTAAAGAAGTAGAAAAGTATAAAAACAGGGTGCCTGGGTGGCTCAGTTGGTTAGGCGACTGCCTTCGGCTCAGGTCATGATCCTGGAGTCCCGGAATCGAGTCCCGCATCGGGCTCCCTGCTCAGCGGGGAGCCTGCTTCTCCCTCTGACCTTCCCCCCTCTCATGCTCTCTCTCATTCTCTCTCTCGCAAATAAATAAAATCTTAAAAAAATTTTTAAAAAAAGAAAAGTATAAAAACAATTTAGTAGAATAGATGAATCAATGAATTAAGTGAATTGGGCCCAGGTATTTGATTGTATGTTATGTGGATTATATGGATTGAGGAGTGCTAGAAATTTAACCCCCCCATTCCTTTAGTCTCTTAGAGCTAGTATTATTTATTATTTACTATATCTTCTATAATTATAAATTTTATTCTTTATTATTGATGGCTGTATTGATATAATTGGTAATTTAGTACTTTATATTAATATTTATTTTCTCCTGAATACGGGCTATTGTCCTACACAAATTTTCAGAAGATCAGTGAACATCTAATGAATTTATCTTTTGCATCATCAGGAAGTATGAGCACACTGTAGTCCAGGGAGGTTAGGACTTAAAACAGCTCAGAAATTCAAAATAGAGAGTTGAGAGCATGGAAGACACTTCAGTATTTTGCTTAGCAGCTAGCTCTCTGTGTTTCTGTGGATAACACGCTTCAATTCAAGCAGCAATCATGAAGCCAATAATGAAACTTCCCTATGTCAGTCCCTAAATTGTAGTTTTTATATAGGGCTAACTATCTAAGTTCTGACCCAATTTTAGACACTTGCGAGTGAAGGGACTCTATAAATAAATACAGAAGACCACAGACATAAATGGAGTATATCCCAGGTATCTTGTGGCCTATGGTCAGCCTATCCTATCCTAGACCTGATAATGCTAAGCACATTAGCAACACCTGGAGTTCTTATTGAACATTCAGGTTCCCAGATTCCATCCCAACATTTCTGAAATAATTAGGACTGGCAAATATGCATTTTAATAAACACCCCAGGTGGTTCTTATTCAACTGAAGTTTTAGATCCAATAGCTCTGTGAGATGCTTGGCAAACCAAGTTCTTATGATTTGACAGGATATAATTTAACTACCCCCTACTTTGTATTCATTATTGAAGATTTAATTGGTGTATTTATGTTATTACTTGCTATAAAATGCACTTTAACAGGAATGGAGTTTAGTTTATGTCATTACCTTGTGTTGAGATGATTATTCACTGATAAACTTATTAGATTTCAGGTAATAACTCAAACTAAACATTGATTGGTATTGTGGATGGATCCACAATTTGTTATACTTTAATTCATGCTTTACAAGAAAAATAACCCTTAAAATCAGAATTTGAATGGACTTTAACCTAAGATCAGTCTAAAGAAGTAGAAAAGTGTAAAAACAATTTAGTAGAACAGATGAATCAATGAATTAAATGACTTATTCCTGTCCATTTTCTTGTTCATAAATGTTGCTCTATTTTTCAGCTCTTAATAACAACTGAAAGAATTCAAAAATGTTTATCTCTTTTATAAATCACAACATCATTAAAGTAAATAAATTAACCTTTGGATAAGACCAAAGGTCCTATTATTAAGTTTTCCCTTCTTGGGAAAAGAGAACTTTCTCTTTTTTTTTTTCCAGTAGTATAGATATATTAATTTCAGTTGCTGAATATTTGATTCCAAGAACTTTGAGAAAGAAAATATTTTTACTGCAGGTAGTGATGAAAAGCTTTATTGACACTGAGAGAACTATTAGGTAATTCCAAAACTGTACATTTGGGGTCCTTGAAAAGATTAAATATAACAGAGATGAAAGCACTTGTTTCTGCAAGTGGAAATCATAAATTTTTGAATTATTTTATTTAGAATCATAATGAAGTTTATTTTTGCCCATGTAAGATGCATAGGAAAAAGTGAAACTTCTCCTTGTATAGCTGATTTCTCAATAAAAGTACTTTTCTGTTTTTCTAAAGATAGGAACCACCAGCCTGTGCGGTAGTAACAGTAAAGGCATTGCAGAGTGATAATATTCTACAGGTAATAATTTTTACCAAAAAGCCTATTGTGGTCTTGACACAATGTGAAAATAAATGTGGCTAAATTGAGGCCTGAGAATATTGCCATTTATGAAGCACGCACTCTCCTTAAGGTATAATCCTAGGCATTTAATGTATCATAATTCATACAACCACCATATTATTATTATATGAATGTTATAAAACTGGAAACAGAGACAGAGAGGTTAAATTATTTACCCCAAGTCACACAGCTAGTAAGTTTAAGAAGAGGAGTCAGAATGGAGATACTTCTGATGTTGAAGCCAGTGATCTTCTCTCAACTATCTAGGGATGACTGAACACCTCACAGAGAACTGATTCTTCAGATTAGTGTCTAGTAGGGTTTATTTAATCTCAAGAAAATGACAAAGAGAAGGGAATTAAGTGTCAAAACTTGAAGATATTTAGGGGTACCTGCCTTTGGCACAAGTCATGATCCTAGGGTTCTGGGATCAAGTCCCTCATGAAGCTCCCTGCTCAATGGGGAGTCTGCTTCTCACTCTCCCTCTGCTCCTCCCCGCCACTCATTCTCTCTTTCTCTCTTTCTCTTTCAAATAAATCAGATCTTAAAAAAAAACTTGAAGTGGTCTAAATTTGTTATCCAGCAAAATACTAATACACTCAGTATATACAAATATTAAGACTATTTTCAAATGTAACTAATGATAATCATGGTTGGAGAGGAAATTACTTCTCTGAGGTTCTGTGCTCTAGAAAACCCTGAACTAGGGGTAAACAATAATTATTGTTAATACAAAAGAGACATCATGTGAACTTTTAGAGATCCATAGAGATACAAATACGTCAAAATAGAATGAAAAACTATGAATGAAAGACAAGTTGTTAAATTCATGGAATTGTACTTACACATCAGCCACCGGATGTCGCTGTCTTCCATAAAATGTTTTTAGAACAAAGGCATAATCCTGTTTCTCAAGGACTAGAAAGGAGCTACATTCTCAGATCTCAGCCATTTCGATAAAATTAGATGTAAGAAGTCGAACAGCAAAATTTCAGAGAGCATGTTTATTCTAGACCGCTGATTCATGCAGAAAGGTATGATGTTGGTCTACACACCCAGCAGCCCAAGAGACTTACGCCAGCTTCTCCTGCTTCTGCTTCTCGCAGCCTGGAAGGCGGGGAGGGGCCAGGTCCATTATTCTGTGCCGGAGGAGGCCAAACACGGCACCTTCGTGGGCCGCATCGCCCAGGATTTGGGGCTGGAGCTGGCGGAGCTGGTGCCACGCCTGTTCCGGGTGGCGTCCAAAGGCCACGGGGATCTTCTGGAGGTAAATCTGCAGAATGGCATTTTGTTTGTGAATTCTCGGATCGACCGGGAGGAGCTGTGTGGGCGGAGCGCGGAGTGCAGCATCCACCTGGAGGTGATCGTGGACAGGCCGCTTCAGGTTTTCCATGTGGAGGTGGAGGTAAAGGACATTAATGACAACCCGCCGGTCTTCTCCGTTTCAGAACAAAAGCTTTCAATACCCGAATCTCGACTGCTTGACTCTCGGTTTCCGCTAGAAGGCGCATCTGATGCGGATGTTGGAGAGAATGCAGTGCTTACTTACAGACTCAGTCCAAATGAGTTTTTCATTCTTGATATTATAAACAGAAAGGACAAAGGCAAAACCCCAGTGCTTGTTCTAGGAAAAATGCTGGATCGTGAAGAAAATCCTCAGCTTCAGTTGTTATTAACTGCAACTGATGGAGGCAAACCGGAATATACTGGATCTGTTACTCTGCTGATCTTGGTGTTGGATGCCAATGATAATGCGCCTATATTTGACCGATCCGTTTATGAAGTTAAGATGTATGAAAATTCAGCGAAACAAACTTTAGTAATATGGCTAAATGCGTCTGATGCAGATGAAGGAATAAACAAAGAAATGATATATTCATTTAGTTCTTTGGTTCCACCCAGCATAAGGCGGAAATTTCTAATGAATGAAAAAACGGGAGAAATAAGAGTAAATGATGCTATTGACTTTGAGGATAGTAACACTTATGAAATTCATGTAGATGTTACAGATAAAGGAAACCCACCAATGGTTGGTCACTGCACTGTACTAGTGGAAGTTCTGGATGAAAATGATAATTCACCCGAGGTGGTTATCACTTCTTTGGCTCTCCCGGTGCGAGAAGATGCTCAGGTGGGCAGTGTCATTGCCCTGATCAGCGTGTCCGACCGTGACTCTGGCGCCAACGGGCAGGTGACCTGCACCCTGTCACCCCACGTTCCCTTCAAGCTGGTGTCCACCTTCAAGAATTACTATTCGCTGGTGCTGGACAGCGCCCTGGACCGAGAGAGCGTGTCGAACTATGAGCTGGTAGTGATAGCGCGGGACGCAGGCTCGCCTTCGCTCTCCGCCACGGCCAGCGTGTCCGTGGAAGTGGCGGACGTGAACGACAACGCGCCGGCATTCGCGCAGCCCGAGTACACGGTGTTCGTGAAGGAGAACAACCCGCCCGGCTGCCACATCTTCACGGTGTCTGCGCGGGACGCCGACGCGCAGGAGAACGCGCTGGTGTCCTACTCGCTGGTGGAGCGGCGCGTGGGCGAGCGAGCGCTGTCGAGCTACGTGTCGGTGCACGCGGAGAGCGGCAAGGTGTACGCGCTGCAGCCGCTGGACCACGAGGAGCTGGAGCTGCTGCAGTTCCAAGTGAGCGCGCGCGACGCGGGCGTGCCTCCCCTGGGCAGCAACGTGACGCTGCAGGTGTTCGTGCTGGACGAGAACGACAACGCGCCCGCGCTGCTGCCGCGGCCGGGGGCGGGCGGCGGCGCTGTGAGCGAGCTGGTGTCGCGGTCGGTGGGCGCGGGCCACGTGGTGGCGAAGGTGCGCGCGGTGGACGCCGACTCTGGCTACAACGCGTGGCTGTCGTACGAGCTGCGGCCGGCGGCGGGTGGCGCGCGCAGCCCGTTCCGCGTGGCGCTGTACACGGGCGAGATCAGCACGACGCGCACCCTGGACGAGGCGGACTCGCCGCGCCAGCGCCTGCTGGTGCTGGTGAAGGACCACGGCGAGCCGGCGCTCACGGCCACGGCCACTGTGTTGCTGTCGCTGGTGGAGAGCGGCCAGGCGCCCAAGGCGTCGTCGCGGGTGCTGGCGGGCGCCGCTGGCGCCGAGACGGCGCTGCTGGATGTCAACGTGTACCTGATCATCGCCATCTGCGCGGTGTCCAGCCTGTTGGTGCTCACGCTGCTGCTGTACACGGCGCTGCGCTGCTCGGCGCCGCCCGCGGAGGGCGCGTGCGCGCCTGGGAAGCCCACGCTGGTGTGCTCCAGCGCGGTGGGGAGCTGGTCGTACTCGCAGCAGAGGCGGCAGAGGGTGTGCTCCGGGGAGGGCCCGCCCCCGGCCCCGCCCCCGCCCGCGTCCAAGACCGACCTCATGGCCTTCAGCCCCAGCCTTCCTCCGTGTCCTGGATCTCTAAATGCGACGGAAGATCCACAAGCTTCTTTGGAGTCCTCTGGAAAGGTGGGTTGCTCAAATATTTTATTCATTTATGTATTTATTTTTGAAATGTGAGACATTCTTATTTTCAGACGGTGCTTTTAAATAGTTTTTACTCATTTATTCTAGAGATCTGCCAATATTTTCTTATTTATTATTCGGAAGTTGAATATTTTAAGTTTATACCTGCCTTTTGTATTTTGACTTCCAATTACAAATCATTAAAATCCATACATTGAGTAAATATTTATTGGGTGCTGAAATCAATTTCACTTAAAACCTGCCATGGGAATCATACTGAATTCCTAAAGCTGCGCTGCCACTGTACCTGGAAACTATTCAGTGAAAAACAACTTAATTGCTACACATTAAGTATACTTCAACACCAGTCTATCTGTAGTGCAATATAGCTTATAATGCATAGTATATCCTCAGTATTCAGTGTTTATGTTTTATTTTTAATGGTACTGTATGTAGACTTGAAGTTCATTTATAAATGTCCTAATCTATGAAATTAAGGATTTTGAGCTTTTAAAATGTTTTCTCATTTTTATTTTGGTAGTTTTGGTATCTCTGCCAGTGTGTACTATTCACTTTTTTTTTAGAAGAAAAACTTTATAATTATTTACATAATTTTATGCAGTAGCTCTTCATGATCTCCTTTATCAGCATGAAATATAGCATTATGTTCAAGTATAAGATTTTGCACTGTGAGGAAAGAGTCATAATTATGTTTAATAATGGAGAAATTTGAAAATCACTTAATTTTAAGGAGGTTGAAAATAATTACTTTAGTCCAAATTAATACGAGAAATTTGAAGAGAAAGCTGAATTGTTCTCTTAGAACATTTTCTACTGATTTGTGATCATAGCGTGCAATTTAGTTTATAGTTTCTCTAGTCATTTTTTTTTTAAAGATTTTATTTGTTTATTTGACAGAGAGACACAGCAAGAGAGGGAACACAAGCAGGGGGAGTGGGAGAGGGAGAAACAGGCTTCCTGTGAAGCAAGGAGCCCAATGTGGGGCTTCATCCCAGGACCCTGGGCAGAGGCTTAAGGACTGAGCCACCCAGGTGCCCCTCTCTAGTCATCTTAAACCAGGGTTGTGTTGGATAGAGTAGACTGTGAAATGCAAGACAATTAAATTGCAGGGTGCCAACACTATCCTATTCAATATTCCTTTCTGAGACTGGTTGTTACCTGATACCTATGATTTCCTTTTTGTTTATTTTGTTAAGTCCAGTGTTACCAACAAATAATAGTGCAACTAGTTTCCTGACTCTAGTTCTTAGCAATGCTTTTTGCTTTCTGTATACAAGCTGAATTTTTACTCTGTATGTACTTTACAAATAGCTTCCAATAAAACCTGAAATATCTATTCAAGTTTAGGAACACCAAAAAAGACAGTTGTGGCGGGAATTTAAGCATGGCATTGCCTTCTTTTGTTAATATTTCCCATGGCCAGTTTCCAATTCTCAGAGATTACAGATGATAAGTTAATGCAGAGTATTTCAACTTGTATATAGAATTCCTTTCTCTTATATCTGTCTTCTCATTTGGCCCTTTATGTCACTGTGTCCCCCTTGCAAAAAAGTCTTATCCAAAGGTATCTCTTCATCTGAGCAATTAATGAAACACAGAATTGTGTGTTTACCAATTTAGTCCTATTTATTTTACTTTGCTTTGGGCGGGCATGTTTAAAACATAAACATTCACCAAAAATTTAACACAACCAGTTACCATTTTATCCAGGAACATAATAATTTTTAAAGTCTTTGGAGAAGGAAATGCAGATAGAGGAGATGAGGTGAGATTTCAGGAGTAGTTGAGAGCTAGCAAAGACAGATTTTACCGGTTTTAGTCTGACATTGTCTTCCTCTGTCTCTGGTTTTTTTTTTTTTTTAAGATTTAAAGATTTAAGATTTATTTATTTATTTATTTGAGAGAGAGAGAGCGCGAGCACACAAGCAGGGGGAGTAGCAGAAGTTGTGGGAGAAGCAGGCTCCCTGCTCAGCCCAGGGACTCCATCCTAGGATCCTGGGATCATGACCTGAGCCGAAGGCAGATGCCAAACTGACTGAGCCCCCCAGGCACGCCCCTGTCTCTGTTTTAAGATAAATATTTTTAAAAACTTTATGGAAAGTTTCTTTCATTTAATTCAAAATTACGGAAATTTCAGAATGAAACCAGAAAATTTTCCAAATTAAGGATTTCTTTTAACATTCTTGCCCCCCCCCAAAATTAGTCAATTTCTTTTAAAACTGTGACATCTTAGGAGTGCCTGGGTAGCACAGTTGGTTGAATGTCTGGCTCTTGGTTTTGGCTGGGGATGTGATCTCATGGTTTCATGAGATTGAGCCCCACATCAGGCTCTAGTCAGCAGAGAGTTGGCTTGAGTTTCTCTCCCTCTGCCCCTCCTCCCACGTGCTCAGTCTCTCTCTCTCTGAAATAAATAAATAAATGTAAAAACAGTAACATTTTAATTTTATAATGATGTTTAATATAATCTTTATTAAATGGCATTAAAATGAGGCTAATCATGAGCACTCTATAGCTCTTGATGGCATAGTATTTGTTATAGTCTATTTTAAGATGAGTAACCAAGCCATAGCTTTATTGGTATACTATAGTTATTTAGCTATATGATAGCCTTGAAATTTGAGGGCTTAAAAACTATCTTTAGGGGCGCCTGGGTGGCTCAGTCGGTTGGGCGACTGCCTTCGGCTCAGGTCATGATCCTGGAGTCCCGGGATCGAGTCCTGCATCGGGCTCCCTGCTCGGCAGGGAGTCTGCTTCTCCCTCTGACCCTCCCCCTCTCATGCTCTCTCTCTCTCTCTCATTCTCTCTCTCAAATAAATAAATAAAATCTTTTTTTAAAAAAAACTATCTTTAATGTGTACTTAACTAATGAAGCAATTCCTTAAACCAAAAATGGAATGGACCTTCAGTAAGGCATATTCTCAAAGGGGCCAGATTATTTAAATCAGCAAACACAGGGAGTCATGTCTTAGTCATGTCTTTTTCTGAATTTAGTAACCCCCATGTGCTAAAAATTTGTTTGCTCCTCTTTATGCAAATGTCTTGAGTTTATGGCTTCCACAATTTAAAAAAGAATTACAAGTAGAACTATAAATTTTTTGCATAGATCTATAATCATTGAATCCTATCTTTAAAAGTGTTCCAAATGAAGACTGCCGCTCACTTTCACATATAACCTAAGATTGCCTTGGGTAGCCATTTACAATTTTTTTTCAAAAGAGAAATTTGGAATTTTCCCAGTGGCCGCCATCTTATCAGAAGGATTTCAGATATTGAATAGTTGGCTTCTTAACAGTCTTGAGAATGATTAAAATATTTTTCTCTTTTAATATAAGACTGATAAGCTTTATTGCAATTGATAACAGTTGCGATGCAAATTTCCACTTGGTTTTTGCATTTGAGATAAGAACAGGAAAATAAAATTGAGTAAATTAATTCAATTTAGAATGTTTTTATTTATTTTTATTTATTTTTTAAAAGATTTTATTTATTTATTTGAGAGAGAGAGAGAGAGCCCATGAGAGGGGGGAGGTTCAGAGGGAGAAGCAGACTCCCTGCTGAGCAGGGAGCCCAATGTGGGACTCGAGATCCCGGGACTCCAGGATCATGACCTGAGCTGAAGGCAGTCGCTCAACCAACTGAGCCACCCAGGCGTCCTAGAATGTTTTTATGCTCTAGTCTCTGTAAACCAATTCTGGAATAAAATGGGTATAAACAAACAGAAGATATAACTTGAATTCCTGATTCAGTGGGTTTTTGTTGGGGGGGGTTAGAAAGAAATTATTTTGCAAATAGGAATGGATATAATGCATATTTAAGTTGTCCTTCAGAATGGAAAGTACAATATTCACCCTGAACAGATACAGTAATTGAAAAAGCTCTAAAAGGAACCAAAGATAAATATACTTTGTATTTCTAGGAATCAGTACATGGTAAAAATCATTAATATCAAAGAAAATAAATCTTTGGATAAACTGGTATGTAACTTGCATATCAGCATTGATTAGAAACACCATTACGTTGAGGTGGTAACTTAGAGAACTTGAATCTTGAGTTATTCTCTTCACAGTTGAACTAAATGTTTAGAATAATTTAACATAGTATAATTATTAAGCAATAGAAATTGTAGTGTTAGCAATGGAATAAACTTAATAAGAGGCCATTCCCAAATGATCAATTTCTAAAAGTCTAAAAAACACAGCATCACTAGTAACCTACAAACATGGACTTTTCGTGTTCATATACATGATAATATAGTTAGTCCAGTAGTACGTTCTCTTAGATGTCTATATCCAAGGTAAAACTTTTCTTAGGATTCTAATTTGTAAGACAAAAACCACCTTTAAAGAGCTAGTGGTCACACACAAGGAATGTATAAAGAAAAAATTAAAAGCCTACAAAGTAAAACATGGACCAATATATGAAGGAATTATGAGAGAAGCAATAGAAATGAAAGAAATAGTATAAACACAAACGTACTTCCATTTCGAGCCACAGGATGTCGTTGTTCTCCAAGGAGAGGATGCTTTAAACAGAAGGAAATTACGGTAATTCACGGGCCAGAAAGAATCTCCACGGTTCCGGTGTTTTAAAGACTCTACACACCCATGTTGTTAAAATCAGTTGGGATCTCAGGAACAAAGACTTGAAAGGTCTAAAAGGACCACACCTTTCCGCTCTTGAAATGTTGATTTACTAACCAGAAGCAAAGCAGGATGTTAGCTTCAGGACCAGGTGGCCAGGGAACCAGGCACTTGCTGCTCTCGGTTCTGCTCCTTGCAGCGTGGGGGGCCGAGAGCGGCCAGGTCCATTACTCGGTCCCGGAGGAGGCCAAACACGGCACCTTCGTGGGCCGCATCGCCCAGGACTTGGGGCTGGAGCTGGCAGAGCTGGTGCCGCGCCTTTTCCGAGTGGCGTCCAAGGGTCCCGGGGATCTTCTGGAGGTAAATCTGCAGAATGGCATTTTATTTGTGAATTCTCGGATCGACCGGGAGGAGCTGTGTGGACGGAGCGCGGAGTGCAGCATCCACCTGGAGGTGATCGTGGACAGGCCGCTTCAGGTTTTCCATGTGGAGGTGGAGGTGAAGGACATTAACGATAATCCGCCTGTATTCCCAGCAACACAGAAAAATTTGTTTATTTCCGAAACAAGGGCTCTTGACTCTCATTTTTCACTAGAGGGCGCCTCTGATGCAGATATCGGGGCCAACGCTCTGCTCACTTACAAACTGAGCCCCAGTGAGTATTTCTCTTTGGAAGTACCCACCAACGACGATCAGGTAAAACCGCTTCAACTAGTACTAAAAAAACTCTTAGACAGGGAAGTCGCTTCAGAGCTTCTCTTGGTGCTCCAAGCAACTGATGGGGGCAAACCTGAGCTGACAGGTAACACAGAGTTACACATCACAGTGCTGGATGTAAATGACAACGCCCCAGTATTTGACAAAGCAGTCCATCGTGTAAAATTACTGGAGAATTCGAGAAACGGTACCCTGGTTATTAGACTTAACGCCTCGGATTTGGATGAAGGTTCAAACAGCCACATTCTTTATTCCTTTGCAACTGATGTCTCCTCTAATACAGAAGCCTTTTTCTGCATAGATTCAGCCAGTGGAGAAATAAAAGTAAACGGAAAAATAGATTTTGAAGAAACTAAATTATGGAAACTTCAAATAGAAGCAGTTGACAAAGGAAATCCCCCGATGTTTGGTCACTGCACAATCTTGGTAGAAATCTTGGACATTAATGATAATGCTCCGGAGTTGCTAGTGACGTCACTATCGTTGTCTGTTCCAGAGGATGCTACACTAGGGACTGTCATCGCCCTAATCAGTGTAACTGACCGTGACTCTGGTGCCAACGGGCAGGTGACCTGCACCCTGTCACCCCACGTTCCCTTCAAGCTGGTGTCCACCTTCAAGAATTACTATTCGCTGGTGCTGGACAGCGCCCTGGACCGAGAGAGCGTGGCGGACTATGCTCTAGTAGTGACCGCGCGTGACGCAGGCTCGCCTTCGCTCTCCGCCACGGCCAGCGTGTCCGTGGAAGTGGCGGACGTGAACGACAACGCGCCGGCATTCGCGCAGCCCGAGTACACGGTGTTCGTGAAGGAGAACAACCCGCCCGGCTGCCACATCTTCACGGTGTCTGCGCGGGACGCCGACGCGCAGGAGAACGCGCTGGTGTCCTACTCGCTGGTGGAGCGGCGCGTGGGCGAGCGAGCGCTGTCGAGCTACGTGTCGGTGCACGCGGAGAGCGGCAAGGTGTACGCGCTGCAGCCGCTGGACCACGAGGAGCTGGAGCTGCTGCAGTTCCAAGTGAGCGCGCGCGACGCGGGCGTGCCTCCCCTGGGCAGCAACGTGACGCTGCAGGTGTTCGTGCTGGACGAGAACGACAACGCGCCCGCGCTGCTGCCGCGGCCGGGGGCGGGCGGCGGCGCTGTGAGCGAGCTGGTGTCGCGGTCGGTGGGCGCGGGCCACGTGGTGGCGAAGGTGCGCGCGGTGGACGCCGACTCTGGCTACAACGCGTGGCTGTCGTACGAGCTGCGGCCGGCGGCGGGTGGCGCGCGCAGCCCGTTCCGCGTGGCGCTGTACACGGGCGAGATCAGCACGACGCGCACCCTGGACGAGGCGGACTCGCCGCGCCAGCGCCTGCTGGTGCTGGTGAAGGACCACGGCGAGCCGGCGCTCACGGCCACGGCCACTGTGTTGCTGTCGCTGGTGGAGAGCGGCCAGGCGCCCAAGGCGTCGTCGCGGGTGCTGGCGGGCGCCGCTGGCGCCGAGACGGCGCTGCTGGATGTCAACGTGTACCTGATCATCGCCATCTGCGCGGTGTCCAGCCTGTTGGTGCTCACGCTGCTGCTGTACACGGCGCTGCGCTGCTCGGCGCCGCCCGCGGAGGGCGCGTGCGCGCCTGGGAAGCCCACGCTGGTGTGCTCCAGCGCGGTGGGGAGCTGGTCGTACTCGCAGCAGAGGCGGCAGAGGGTGTGCTCCGGGGAGGGCCCGCCCCCGGCCCCGCCCCCGCCCGCGTCCAAGACCGACCTCATGGCCTTTAGCCCTAGTGTTCCCCCTTGTTCAAGTTCTGGAGATAGTGGAGAACAACAGGAGATTTTTGGGAATGATGTAAGTACAGTAATTCTGAATGTATTTAATGCCTGTTGATGTCAATCGCATAGTATGTTCAGCGACATTAGTATAAGTTTATTGTTTCTTTGTTTTGTTTTCTTGGGATGGTTTATTTTAAAACATACTGGAAGTCTAGCTATTTTTATTACGTTTCACTGAAGTCTTAATGAACACACCAGGAACCTTATTTAGTTGCTGAAAATAATAATAGTGGTAGTAATAGCAGTAATGAAATAGATGGCTAAAGCTGTCTGTAAATGAAGAAGGCTAAGTCATCCAGGCAAGGATCACTGATGGGAAATGGAGGATGTAGGCAAAGCTTAAATATAGTTCTCAATTTTGCAGCAAGTTCAATTTTTCTATTCATTTCCTTATTCTAATTGGTGTCCTCCCCTCATTGCGTTCATGTATTAAAAATTACCATAATAATGCCTAACTTCATAATTTAGTTATTTTGAGTTTGAAATGTGTTTGAATTCTTACCTTCCTATAAACTCTAAATTTATTTATTACTAATGGGCATGGGCTGAGGTGGCTTCCTTTTATAAAGAAGTTTGTTTCTTTATAATCAGTGGCATACTTCTTTGAGATACTGGGTGAAGTTTCAGCCTTACCTTTGGGGAGGACTTTACTTTTTTGTCTTTAATCCTCTCATGATTTCCTGCTTATTTTCTTCATAGTCTTCAGCTGCTTCAGATACACTACTTTTTTTTTTTTTACTTCCTAGTGTAATTTCAGTTTTGCTAATTGCCTGCTGAATCTATTGCTGCTCTCCTCCAAATGAATTCATTGATTTCCTTTTTTATTTGGAAGATTTATTTGATATTTGATCATATTTATGTTTCTTCCATTCATGGTACCCATTGTGAGTCTGTATGGAAATATTTTAGGGTAGGGTAGGAAAATTCACACTTCCCTGTGCTTTGAGTTTAAGAGAGAGTCTTCCTGGGGCACCTGGGTGGCTCAGTTGGTTAAGCGACTGCCTTCGGCTCAGGTCATGATCCTGGAGTCCGCATCGGGCTCCCTGCTCAGCGGGGAGTCTGCTTCTCCCTCTGACCCTCCCCACTCTCATGCTCTCTCTATCTCATTCTCTCTCTCAAATAAATAAATAAATAAATCTTAAAAAAAAAAAGAGAGAGTCTTCCTGTATATGCAGAAGCGTGGTACTGCTGCCTGTGTCCACCAAGCCACTAGGTCTTTGAAATGACATTGATTTAAATAGCTTAAGCATAACAACCATGAAATATCTGTAAAGTCACTTCCATTTGACAATGGTGTTGTTGATCACATTTCACAATTTGATATTGTATACTTTAGATACATTTGATGCAAAATCATGTGAATTGTTTTCTTTAAGGAGATCACAGAGAACTTGTATTTAGAGCTATAAGCATCTAAATCAATTGATGTGAAAGTTTATTTATTTATTTATTTATTTATTTATGCTCCAGTGTACAAGTTGTTGTGTGGAGAAATAAATTATATATGATATATTTACATGTGGAGGAGAACCATGTTATGGATAGGGTAAAGTTAATAAAAATGCTGAGGAAGCATTAGTCGCCATTTTCTACCCACAAAAAAGGGATGATTGCCATGAAGATGAACATTAGGAAATCTTCTGAAAAGGAAAAACCAGGCCCTAGTTTATCATACTGAAAATCTCTTCATCCATAGCTACAAAGTAGAATAAGAACAGTCACTAACTACAAATAAACCACTACTATTTGAACTGTTTGTTTATTAGAACATTGTGTGAAGGACTTAAAATACATAATTTAATCCTTATAACAACTTATAAAACACATGTGACTATCCAAATTTTAATGATGGACTAAGGGCGCCTGGGTGGCTCAGTCGTTAAGCGTCTGCCTTTGGCTCAGGTCATGATCCCAGGGTCCTGGGATCGAGTCCCACATCGGGCTCCTTGCTCAGTACAGAGCCTGCCTCTCCCTCTGCCTGCCTCTCCCTCTGCCTGCCTGCCACTCCCCCTGCTTATGCTCTCTCTCACTCTCTCTGTGTCAAATAAATAAATAAAATCTTTTAAAAAAAATGATGAACTAAGAGATGGTAAGATATTTTTCTAGCTTGTCTACTGCCATCCAGCTAGTACATGGTAAAAATGATACTCAAATGTATATCTTTTAGATTCTAGAGCCATTCTTTTATTCACTGTAGAGTTTTCTACAGTAAATTTTTTCTCTAATCAGGCATAGTTATGGCTAGGAAAATCAAGCCCAAAGTATATAGAGGTGAATCCTTCTTTCTGTTTTGCTTAAGAAAAAAACCATGATTATCTTCATAGTTAATTTTGTACAATGCCATAATTGAGATTTTTTATGTTAAGTGATTTTTTTTCTCAGAAGAGTTCATGAGCGTCATTATCATTTGTTGCAATGCCACATTGAGATAGGTCTTTACATCATTCAATGTAATGTAGGTAATGTAGGTAATGAAGAGTTGCCATTGTAGGGATTAGGTATCCGTTGTTTGGAAGTAATCTAAGTTAAGAAGAATCATTTAATATATGGGAAAACCCAGAAGACTGTGGTCTGCAATGTTCTAGCAGAACACCAAAGCCAAATGATAGATATGCAAATGACCCTGTCCTTTTTATGTTGTGAATAAGGATAATGTTTTGGACAAATGTAAGTGGTAATATGATTATTTCCAGGATCCTGGATATCAGCAAAGGATTCAATAAGTGTTTCCAAAATTGCATATTTCAATAACAGCTTAAAAGGTGTATATTTCCCATGAAAATGTTTTTTTAAAAGATTTTATTTATTTATTTGTCAGAGAGAGAGACAGCACGCAAAAGCAGGGGGAGCGACAGGCAGAGGGAGAAGCAGGCTCCCTGATGAGCAAGGAGCCTGATGTGGGACTTGATTCCAGGACCCTGGGATCATGACCTAAGCCAAAGGCAGATGCTTAACCAACTGAACCACCCAGGTGTCCCTCCCATGAAAATCTTTGAATGTGTGTTGGTATTTCAGAATTCAGTCTTTTTGTGTCTGTGAGATTTGTGCTGACTGAAGAAATGATCTGTGATGAAATAACTGTGTATACTTCAATAAGCCATGAGAGCGAAGAGTGAACATCAATGAGTATATCCTATAATTTTGTTAATACAGTGTTAGATAGTATTTCTAATCTATTTATCTTGAAGAACCTCCTGGGTTTCCAAGAATGGTTTCAAGATTTGTTTCTCTGTTTTATGTTTTCAATAATAATATTACTAGACCTGTTATGCTGTATTAGGGGATGATGAGGACTAATAGAGTATTAAACCAAGCACTCTAATATATGACCAGCAGGAAATACAGTAGAAACTTAAGATTAACCAGATTGGGATACCTGGGTGGCTGAGTCTGTTGAGTGTCTAACTCTTGGTTTCATCTGGGGTTGTGATCCCATGGTTATGGGATCCAGCCCCTCATGGGGCCTCTCATGGAGCCTCTGGTGGAACCCCACTTTGGGATTCGTGCTCAGCGGGGAGTTTGCTTGAGATTCTCTGCCTCTGTCCCTCCCTCTGCGTGCTCTCTCTCTCTCAAATAAATAAATAAATCTTAAAGAAAGACTAACCAGATTGGTTTAGTAAAGGTCAGGCACAAAGTTCTTCAGTTTTCAATCAATTTTACAAAATCAATGTTCATAATAATATTGATGTGAACTTCTTGGCATTAGCTTATTGCCAGATCTCAAGCTTATCCCCCAAAATGAGTTCAAAGATAGCATAATCTCTTTTATATGGATTAGTTGAGATGGTGATATCTAAAATATTATACCGAAAAAGCAAAAGATGGATCATTGGCTTATACAATATATTATGATTATGATACAATATATCAAACTCTTTTGTGACTTGATGTTCATCCAGTGTCCTTTCATATACTCAAAAAAACCCATATTACTGGAAAGTAATTGCTAAATTAACATCTGTCTACCTTGGGTAAACTTTCTGATGTTCATCTCTCTATGTTTGAGGATTCCATATTGTGTGTACCATCTCAATCCCCAATGTCTATAATGAAGTGGTTGGAGATCTCTTGCTTCCTTTTTCTCTAAAATAAATCTAACAGGCTTCAGATAGTAGGTTAAGTCTACTGTTAATATAGTCTAATGTTATATTTTGATTAGAGGCCCTTATAACTGATTGTTTCACAGATGCATAAGATAATTCCATGTTATAAAAAGTGACAAGCCTGCTTGCTTTATTAGTTTTTTAAGAAAGAATTTTGCATTTGCTAAGAGTCCTAGCAGGATGATAATATGGGGAAGAGTAAATTTGAAAAAAACGAAACAAGTCTGAAATTAGCAATAGTATGTGTATATTCTAGATAAAGAAAAATACTAACATACAAATAAGTATACTAGTAATTTTTTCATGGACCATTTCAATATTTTTAATTTGGAGATGAATCATCAATCATACAACAAAATACTCAAGCTAGAGTGATATTTATTCTAAATCACTTTCTACTTTAAACTTCCATTAGATCCTCTTTTCACACCCTTAAATCCAAGGCTATATGAAAAGACAAAGACATATAACCAAGTTACATCTTCAGGCAATGATAACTCATATCAACAATTCCCATTTTCTCCTGGTATTTTATGAAATTGAATTTACACAAACATTAAAGTCACTTGCCATTTGGTTGAATTAAGAATTATATGTGTGTGTGTGTGTGTGTTTAACCAGTAGTATGCATTTAGAGGAGGTATAATTAGAAATCCTTTCTCTTGTTTTGGATGAATTTATGATCTCAAACCCAGAATTCTTTCAACAAGAAACAGGTCATTCAACCATTTATTGAGTGCCCACTGTGTGCTGGGAGCTCTGCTATGTGCTAGTCTACCTCATGTCACACCTACAATGCTACAACAGCTCCCTGCTTGTCTCCTGGCTCCTGGTCTTCTCCCCTTCAATCCACTTTGCATACTTGGCCAGTCTCAGCTCTTCTTAAGTCTTACCTTACTCTTTTGGTCCAGCATATCCAGTGGCTCCCCAGTGCCCCCAAGATCAAGTCCAGTTCTTTAATGTGATGGTTAAGCCTTCCATGCTCAAGCTATGCCCTCTCTAATGAAATTTCCTATCAACGGTATTGTCTCTTTGTCTGGTCCCCTCCTGTGCCTGGTACTCAGAGATGCTTAATAAGCATTTATTAAGTGAATGAAGGAAAAAAAAAAGTCAGCTATTTTCATGAATATATCTTGACAGATACACAAAAACCAATGTTAGTGACTTAGAAATACCAATATGGCATACGTATTTTCATGGTGACATTTATTTATTTCATTGAATTATAATAAAATTTATTTTATAATTGAAAGACACCTTCTTCCATATCACTGACACCATCACATAGTGTCATTTTGATACCTCATATTGTACTGTTAGCAGTGTAACTTCCCTGATAAATCATGTGTGTCAAATATAAATTTCATCGACATCCATAGACTTCCATTGTGAATTCTGTTTTAAACACTAAATTTGAAAACATATTTTTGTTTTTCAATGGATATAAGATTGCTTGTAACAAAAATGCAATTAAATGTAAATAACAAAAAAGAATTGGAACTAAAGAAAATAGATATGAATAGAAGGCAAGTACATAGAGATAAGAACACAACATACAGAACTTAAAGACTAAAGAGTTGTTATTAAAACCTCAAGTTTGTCTTTGAGTTTCCTAGCAGCCAAAGTAACAAAAGAGATTAGAAATAAAACAATTCAGGGTGCCTGGGTGGCTCAGTCGGTTAAGCGTTTGCCTTTGGCTCAGGTCATGATCCCAGGGTCCTGGGATGGAGCCCCACATTGGGCTACCTGCTCTGTGGGGAGCCTGCTTCTCCCTCTCCTCCCTGCTTGTGCTCTCTCTCTCTGTCTGTCTCTCAAATAAAGAAATAAAATCTTTAAAAAATAAAGGTGACCTGATACATATTGGGCTCTCAATTAAAAAAAAAAAACAATTCAAATTTGATAACATTTTAATATGAGAAGTAATATCTTTAGGAAATGTTTAACCCTAGTTTTTCATAAGGCTACCTGTAGAGCCAAACTCTGTGTATATTATGTAGATAAATAAAAGAACAATTGTATAACTCTAAATCAAATATAGGAACAAAAATTTCAATTTTATATTAAGAATAAAATGTCATTTTCCACATACCATTGCTTTCAATATGACTTATACTACAAATGTTTCCTCAATGAGCACTTTGGAAATAATATTTTGAGGATAAAATAAAAGGACACTTGAAGTTAATTATATTTTTCTCTTTAAGTAAAATTCTGTAGTGTACGATGTAGTGTAAGTACTCACTATTCAGGCGCAAGGTGTCGCTCTTTACTTGGTGGAAATAGCTGTTTCAAGGGTTGGTCTGAACAGCCAGGAACGCCCCATACAAAACGACTCCATCATGCCGAATGTTACTGTTAAAGGATTCTTTGAAACTTCTCAAAAATTCAGCTAGATTTTTAACCCCAAACTGGAGTCTCTGGTACTGTAAGTGTAAAAGAACCGTATTTTGGAAGTCAGTGTCGTATGCGATGCTCGGCTCTCAAAGAAGGGGATTGGGCACTCGGCGTCTGCTGCTGTCGCTTCTCCTCCTTGCAGTCTGGGAGGCCGGGAGTGGTCAGGTCCACTACTCGGTCGCCGAGGAGTCCAAACACGGCACCTTCGTGGGCCGCATCGCCCAGGACTTGGGGCTGGAGCTGGCAGAGCTGGTGCCGCGCCTGTTCCGGGTGGCGTCCAAAGGCCGCGGGGACCTTCTGGAGGTAAATCTGCAGAATGGCATTTTGTTTGTGAATTCTCGGATCGACCGGGAGGAGCTGTGCGGGCAGAGCGCAGAGTGCGGCATCCACCTGGAGGTGATCGTGGACAGGCCGCTGCAGGTTTTCCATGTGGAAGTGGAAGTAAAGGATATTAATGACAATCCACCAGTGTTCTCTCTCAGAGAACAAAAGCTGCTGATTTCTGAATCTAAGCAACCCAACTCTCATTTTCCTCTAGAGGGAGCTTCTGATGCGGATATAGGAGAGAATGCTCTATTAACCTACAGACTAAGTCAAAATGAGTATTTTTCTTTAGAATTACCAACACATAGTAAGCAGACTAAAAGACTGTCGCTTACATTAAAAAAATATCTGGATCGAGAGAAAACTCCAGAGCTTAATTTGCTACTGACTGCTGCAGACGGGGGAAAACCAGAGCTCACTGGCACCCTTCAGCTTTTCGTCCAAGTCTTGGATATTAACGACAATGATCCGGAATTTGAGCAATCAGAATACAAGGTGAGATTGATGGAAAATGCAGCTAAAGAAACTTTTGTGATAAAGCTAAACGCCACAGATCGAGATGAAGGAGACAATGGGGAGGTAACCTATTCCTTGATGTCAATTAAGCCCAATGGAAAGCTCTTATTTACACTAGATGAAAATAACGGAGAAGTGAGGGTCAATGGAATTTTAGATTATGAGGAAAACAAGTTTTATGAAATTGAAGTACAGGCCACAGATAAAGGGAATCCCCCAATGGCCGGTCACTGTACAGTCTGGGTAGAAATATTAGACGCCAATGATAATGCCCCTGAAGTCACCGTGACTTCTCTGTCTCTACCAGTACGAGAGGACACTCAGCCTAGCACTGTCATTGCGCTGATCAGCGTATCCGACCGTGACTCTGGTGCCAACGGGCAGGTGACCTGCACCCTGTCACCCCACGTTCCCTTCAAGCTGGTGTCCACCTTCAAGAATTACTATTCGCTGGTGCTGGACAGCGCCCTGGACCGAGAGAGCGTGGCGAACTATGCTCTAGTAGTGACCGCGCGTGACGCAGGCTCGCCTTCGCTCTCCGCCACGGCCAGCGTGTCCGTGGAAGTGGCGGACGTGAACGACAACGCGCCGGCATTCGCGCAGCCCGAGTACACGGTGTTCGTGAAGGAGAACAACCCGCCCGGCTGCCACATCTTCACGGTGTCTGCGCGGGACGCCGACGCGCAGGAGAACGCGCTGGTGTCCTACTCGCTGGTGGAGCGGCGCGTGGGCGAGCGAGCGCTGTCGAGCTACGTGTCGGTGCACGCGGAGAGCGGCAAGGTGTACGCGCTGCAGCCGCTGGACCACGAGGAGCTGGAGCTGCTGCAGTTCCAAGTGAGCGCGCGCGACGCGGGCGTGCCTCCCCTGGGCAGCAACGTGACGCTGCAGGTGTTCGTGCTGGACGAGAACGACAACGCGCCCGCGCTGCTGCCGCGGCCGGGGGCGGGCGGCGGCGCTGTGAGCGAGCTGGTGTCGCGGTCGGTGGGCGCGGGCCACGTGGTGGCGAAGGTGCGCGCGGTGGACGCCGACTCTGGCTACAACGCGTGGCTGTCGTACGAGCTGCGGCCGGCGGCGGGTGGCGCGCGCAGCCCGTTCCGCGTGGCGCTGTACACGGGCGAGATCAGCACGACGCGCACCCTGGACGAGGCGGACTCGCCGCGCCAGCGCCTGCTGGTGCTGGTGAAGGACCACGGCGAGCCGGCGCTCGCGGCCACGGCCACTGTGTTGCTGTCGCTGGTGGAGAGCGGCCAGGCGCCCAAGGCGTCGTCGCGGGTGCTGGCGGGCGCCGCTGGCGCCGAGACGGCGCTGCTGGATGTCAACGTGTACCTGATCATCGCCATCTGCGCGGTGTCCAGCCTGTTGGTGCTCACGCTGCTGCTGTACACGGCGCTGCGCTGCTCGGCGCCGCCCGCGGAGGGCGCGTGCGCGCCTGGGAAGCCCACGCTGGTGTGCTCCAGCGCGGTGGGGAGCTGGTCGTACTCGCAGCAGAGGCGGCAGAGGGTGTGCTCCGGGGAGGGCCCGCCCCCGGCCCCGCCCCCGCCCGCGTCCAAGACCGACCTCATGGCCTTCAGCCCCAGCCTTCCTCCGTGTCTGGATAGAGAAGTTGGAGGGAAAATGCAGGAGGCAGGATCAAATCACCCTGGGCAGGTGAGTTCTATAGATTACTCTTCTTTTAAAGTCTATGTTAAATTTTTAAAAATCCTCTTTATTTCATAGAAAAATTTAATGAATACTCTGTATTTTGAGTATTAAGTTTTAAACGAGTATGTTTTCGAGAACAATTTCTGTTAATGAAATGCCAACTGATAAAAATCCAATTTTAATAATGAGATAAATCAGGTTTTTTAGCCAATAAATGTCCTATGTCTCCAAACGTTTTGGTAGAAAATGTTAAAGGAAGCTATAAGAATGACTCTCCTGTCAGCACTTTATTAGATATAATTTCTAAGTTTCAGTGATGTAGCTAGACCACTTATTTCATCTCTAATCCTCACTACTATAGATAATTACTGCGGTTATTTCCATTTTTTCGTCCTCTTTGTCTTTTAACACAGCCTTTTGCTTTAATATTTTCACATTATTAGATCTCTTGACTTTTCTCGCTTCAGGCTTGTATCAAAGATTCAACACTCTCTTCATTAAGTCTGAAAAGATTTAACTTTCTCTGTAGTGTTAAACATGGATCGTACATTTCCTTTCCATTAAATAATCTTTAGTTTTGCCTCAACTGATAAGATAAAACCTGTTTTCATATTATTTGCAGTTAAAAATTCAGTCTTGCATTATTGTGTGGTGGTTTCATTGAAATAATAGAACTTAAAAGTTCTGTCGATTTATTTTATTGCATGTAATGGGTACAGATTTATCTACAATATAGTCAAACAGAACTCCCAGATTTATGCTTACAAAGTTTACTAGGCATATAAAGTTATTCAAAGCACTCAACCAATCTTCAAACTTGCTGAAGACATGCATATAGGCTTATAATATCTGCAACATATGCTGGTTGGCAGTCTGCCCTATGTTAAGTCTATTAAAGTGAAGTGAAAATTATCATTTTCGCTCATCTGGCAACTTTAAATTTCCTGTCTTTAAATGCTTTATCTCTAGTGTTTGTGAAATTTTCTTCTCATGTGCTATAATCACATCAGATGATTCTACCAAAGTTCATTTACCCTTAGGTCATTCTAATTCAGTGATCCTTAGCTATATGTAGGATGGCAGAGTCACTGATTTCTTTGAGAATTTGATGAAATTCATATGTGGCTATGCTCCCCTTTAGCCTTAGGGGTTAAAATTTCTTTATTCTATAATAGGCAACCAAATTAAAACACAAAATGTTTCTGACTTAAAAGATTAAGCCATAGTATCATTTATGAAACTGTAAATGTATAAATGTGAATGTTAGGTAGGGCAGACATTATTATAAATCTCCAAATGAAGTTCTTAGAATGACTTAATGTCATCTAAATTTAATAAACAAAGATATTGGAATATTTTAAGTACACATTAAATTTTTGCAAATTATTACTTTTACAGTACATAAGTAGTTGATGCACATTTTTAGATAATTACAAATTATATGGGCTATTTTCTACAAATTTTGTGTCTTTTATACTTATTCTTAATTTCAGGATTACTTTCAATGGTGTAAAATTATAATTTCAATATAATTTCCATCTTCTAGTTCAATTGTTTAAGTATTAAGGTAATTTTAGATGTTCCTATCTCTTTAGGAATTTTATGTCTAACAGTGTATGAGGACTACATAACACACGACTTTTTCAATAAAGTTTCTTAGCAATCATTGTACATTGACTGTTTTTGAAAATGGAAGATAGAAAACGAAGCATGGTAGTGATATTAGATAATTTAAATAGTCCAGTAGCATCAAAATTCAAACGTTTTTTTGATTACTTAAGAGCCAGTTTTATAGTTGACTTAAGTTATCTCTTACTTGTAGAACGATTATTGATTATTATTTCCTGGTTCTATAAAGATTTCTTATCTCACTTCCCTTCATTATATGTAAAAGGAATGGTGACAAATTGTTGGCTTAAAGATTTTGACTTGAATTTTAATGAGCTTATAAACTCTGTATTAAAATTTTCACAATTAGCTGTGGGATCTTATCTGTGTTTTGTTTTCCCTTAAAGCTGATCTTGAATTACCTAATAAAATTATGAAAAGTTCTTTGATTATCCCTTGCATCATAGTCACCATTCTGATTTCCTGAAGAGGAGCAGATTTTGAATGACTACTAACTGGCCTGAAAGGAACATTTAAAGGGAAACCAAAAGTTCATTATGAAGTTTATATTCTTTTGATTTTAGTCAGAGAGACTGGGCTCCAAAACATCTCACAGATCTTTTTCATATTATGGCTCCACAGCCACTTTAGAATATTGTGAAATTTGGAGGCTTGGTTCAATATTTTACATGAAAATGCTTTCCTCCTGCTATAGTGAAACCTTACAGGATCTGTACCCAAGCCTCATTTTAATATGTTATGGGAATAAGAGCAGTTGTATGAAAAGTCATCACATTTGAGCATCAAGGAACCAAAAACAACGACATGTTCCATATTTATGATGAATTTTTATATCCAACAGAAGTATGAATAAAATAATTTATATGGATGAAATACTCAGTTAATAGAACTACTTTAGGGTTTTTTTTCTTTACTAAGTGCAGGAATTCTTGGGTTTCTCCTAAAGTCCTACAATGAAGTGCTTGTGAAGGATAAAAGTCATTACAAGTGTGCATTGTAAGCAAAATAAGGTTGAAGGTGATGTATATTATTCTTTATTTTATTCTCCATGATAGGCAATATTCTGGCATTCTGTATTTCAGTGATTATTTTATGATGGACTTTGAAGCAGAATATTTTAAAAACCTAAGTATAATAGAAATGACTGCTTTGTTACTAATATCATATACATTAAAAAATAGGCATTTACAAACAATTCATGAAAATATCCAAAAGTCAAAAAATTTTATTTAAGTGTCCCGGGAAATGGCTAAACCAAAAAGAACCTCCGAATCTTTCTTGTACTTACATAATCAGTCACATGATGTCGCTGTACACTCAAAAGGTGAAAAGTAAAAATTTTGCCTCCGCGCCCAGAGTTCATCCATTGGCTGAGTAAGATCGACTCCATGTTGACCGGAAGGCTGGGTAAATTTTACTGTATATATACCTACAGAAAGGGAGACTGATTATAAAGATTTTCAGGTGAGCGATCCCTTAAATCCACCTCAGAGATCTTGTTAACTACAATGGTGTTTTCCTGGAGAGGAGGCCCAGGAGCCTCGCGACTGCTGCTGTCGCTTCTGCTCCTTGCAGCTGGGGAGTCCGGGAGCTGCCAGGTCCACTACTCGGTCCCGGAGGAGGCCAAACACGGCACCTTCGTGGGCCGCATCGCCCAGGACTTGGGGCTGGAGCTGGGGGAGCTGGTGCCACGCCTGTTCCGGGTGGCGTCCAAAGGCCGCCGGGACCTTTTGGAGGTAAATCTGCAGAATGGCATTTTGTTTGTGAATTCTCGGATCGACCGGGAGGAGCTGTGCGGGCGGAGCGCGGAGTGCAGCATCCACCTGGAGGTGATCGTGGACAGGCCGCTGCAGGTTTTCCACGTGGAGGTGGAGGTGAAGGACATTAACGATAACCCACCAGTGTTCAGAGAAGAAGAACAAAAGGTACTGATTTCTGAATCTGCGCCGCTGGATTCTCATTTTCCTCTAGAGGGCGCTTCCGATGCGGATATAGGCGTCAACTCTCTTCTGACCTATCGGTTAGGTCTAAATGAGTATTTTACTCTTAAAATAATAACGAAAAACGATAAAAGTAAATTGCCTGAACTAGTTTTACGGAAGTCATTGGATAGAGAGGAAACTCCAGAACTTAATATATTGCTGACCTCCCAGGATGGCGGTAAACCCGAGCTAACAGGATCTGTTCAGATTAAAATAAGCATTCTGGATGTGAATGACAACGCTCCGGAGTTTGATAAGCCTGGCTATAAAGTAGTGCTGTTTGAAAATGTCCCAAACGGTACAAGAGTGATACAGCTAAACGCTTCTGATCTAGACGAAGGGGTGAATAGAGAAATTTCCTATGGAATCAGACTGATTTTGCCAGTGAGTGAGAAATGCATGTTTTCAATAAATCCAGAAACAGGTGAAATCAGAATTTACGGGAAATTGGATTTTGAAGAGAATATTGAGTATGAAATTCAGGTTAACGCCATTGATAAAGGGATTCCTTCCATGGCAGGTCACTGTACAGTCCTAGTCGAAGTTCTGGATCTGAATGACAATACCCCTGAGGTAATGATCACTTCGCTGTCGCTACCCGTGAGAGAGGATGCTCAGGTGGGCACTGTCATCGCCCTGATCAGCGTGTCCGACCGTGACTCCGGCGCCAACGGGCAGGTGACCTGCTCACTAACACCCCATGTCCCCTTCAAGCTGGTGTCCACCTTCAAGAACTACTATTCTCTGGTGCTGGACAGCGCCCTGGACCGAGAGAGCGTGGCGGACTATGCTCTGGTGGTGACCGCACGCGACGCAGGCTCGCCTTCGCTCTCCGCCACGGCCAGCGTGTCCGTGGAAGTGGCGGACGTGAACGACAACGCGCCGGCATTCGCGCAGCCCGAGTACACGGTGTTCGTGAAGGAGAACAACCCGCCCGGCTGCCACATCTTCACGGTGTCTGCGCGGGACGCCGACGCGCAGGAGAACGCGCTGGTGTCCTACTCGCTGGTGGAGCGGCGCGTGGGCGAGCGAGCGCTGTCGAGCTACGTGTCGGTGCACGCGGAGAGCGGCAAGGTGTACGCGCTGCAGCCGCTGGACCACGAGGAGCTGGAGCTGCTGCAGTTCCAAGTGAGCGCGCGCGACGCGGGCGTGCCTCCCCTGGGCAGCAACGTGACGCTGCAGGTGTTCGTGCTGGACGAGAACGACAACGCGCCCGCGCTGCTGCCGCGGCCGGGGGCGGGCGGCGGCGCTGTGAGCGAGCTGGTGTCGCGGTCGGTGGGCGCGGGCCACGTGGTGGCGAAGGTGCGCGCGGTGGACGCCGACTCTGGCTACAACGCGTGGCTGTCGTACGAGCTGCGGCCGGCGGCGGGTGGCGCGCGCAGCCCGTTCCGCGTGGCGCTGTACACGGGCGAGATCAGCACGACGCGCACCCTGGACGAGGCGGACTCGCCGCGCCAGCGCCTGCTGGTGCTGGTGAAGGACCACGGCGAGCCGGCGCTCACGGCCACGGCCACTGTGTTGCTGTCGCTGGTGGAGAGCGGCCAGGCGCCCAAGGCGTCGTCGCGGGTGCTGGCGGGCGCCGCTGGCGCCGAGACGGCGCTGCTGGATGTCAACGTGTACCTGATCATCGCCATCTGCGCGGTGTCCAGCCTGTTGGTGCTCACGCTGCTGCTGTACACGGCGCTGCGCTGCTCGGCGCCGCCCGCGGAGGGCGCGTGCGCGCCTGGGAAGCCCACGCTGGTGTGCTCCAGCGCGGTGGGGAGCTGGTCGTACTCGCAGCAGAGGCGGCAGAGGGTGTGCTCCGGGGAGGGCCCGCCCCCGGCCCCGCCCCCGCCCCCGCCCAAGACCGACCTCATGGCCTTCAGTCCTTGTCTTCCACAGTCAGGAGAAGATTGTTCAAACCCTTCCAGTGAAGTAAGTCATTGATATAATTTAAGTATATTTGTTTCCTTTATTAACTTTTTGTTAGGGTATAAATACATCTTCTCTTTTTTCTTCATATTATCTTATAACCAGGGAACATCTTCTGTGGTATGATCATTCTCAGTCATTTTGCACTTTTTGTGTATTTCATCTTCATTTAAAACTTTCATTTGAAAGTTCACTTGAAGTTTCATGTATTAGTGAGATATATAGATGAAATAGTGGTTTTGGATCACCACACTTTAAACTTTCTTATTCTATCATTTTTCCTATATTAATTATTAGCCTTGAAAAATATTAGTACAAAAGAGTAAAAACTGCATAGGTGTTTGATAACTCTTAAGTGTAAGTTTGAACTTAATTTTATGATCAGAGAATATTTGCAAGATTAGTACAAATAGTTTTCAGATACCATTAACTGGATTCCTTTACCGTTCCATATAAGCTTATAAAATATCCTCCTGATCACCATTTTAATTTCAGCACAATAACCTTCAGATATTATAACAATAATAAAAATTATGTTGTTAATTCTTTATTTTTTATTCTTATGTTAATCCCCATACATTACATCATTAGTTTTAGATGAAGTGCTCCATGATTCATTGTTTGTGCACAACACCCAGTGCTCCATGCAGAATGTGCCCTCCTCAATACCCACCACCAGGCTAACCCATCCTCCCACCCCCCTCCCCTCTAGAACCCTCGGTTTGTTTTTCAGAGTCCATCGTCTCTCATGGTTCGTCTACCCCTCCGATTTCCCCCGCTTCATTCTTCCCCTCCCGCTACCTTCTTCTTCTTCTTCTTCTTTTTTTTCTTAACATATATTGCATTATTTGTTTCAGAGGTACAGATCTGAGATTCAACAGTCTTGCACAATTCACAGCGCTTACCAGAGCACATACCCTCCCCAGTGTCTATCACCCAGTCACCCCATCCCTCCCACCCCACCCCCCACTCCAACAACTATGTTGTTAATTCTAAGGAATAATTTTGTTATTGTTCACACAGAGTGCCTTCTTTCTTTTAAGTGAGATTGGCTGCTTACTGTACTATCCTTCTTTACATGAAATATAATAAAGTAATTTCATATTTAAAATGTTATAATATGCACCTGAATCAGGATGCATCTTGTAATTGATGGTTTATAATAATTTTGTTGGCTGTTTTTCTTTCCTGGTAGCACATAAGTAATGGTGCATCTTAGAATTAATGACTTCTTTTGAATTCAATAAAATATAGTAATACTTACTGAACCATTATTTTCTAGGACCTGTGTTAAGATCTTTAATTGCAGCATCTCATCTAGTTATCAAATCAGCCCTGGGGCTCCTAGCTGGCTCAGTGGGTGGAGTATGTGACTCTTGATCTCAGGGTCCTGAGTTGGAGCCCCACCTTGGGTGTAGAGATTACTTAAAAATAAAACCTTAAAAAAAAACACAGCCCAATGGTGCGAGTACAGTATTTATCACAGTCACTTTGCCGATGAGAAACCTGAAGCTTAAGACAAAAATATGTAGTGAGAAGTAGCCCAAACTCAGTTTTAGAGGATCCCAAATCCATCATGGCACAGTACTGCTCTGACACTGTTATCAGTTGAATCTTTTATTTATTTTTAAAGATTTATTTATTTATTTGAGAGAGAGGGAGAGTGCACATGCACAAGTGGGGGGAGGGGCAGAGGGAGAGAATCTCAAGCAGACTCTCCTCTGAGCCCGGAACCCAATGAGGGGGCTCAGTCCTGCGACCCATGAGATCATGACTTGAGTGGAAACCGAGTCAGACACTTAACTGACTGAGCCACCCAGATGCCCCCAGTTGAGTCTTTTAAAGTGCATTTAGTATATTTTATATCTTGTAATTTTTTTCCACAAAAATACCCAGAGGCTTCTCTGACTAGAGAATAAAGCCTTAAATCCTTCAGCCTAGTAGTGAAGGAATTAAACTTTCCTGCCTTTGCCTACTACTGTCTTACATATCTCTAGTTTTAGAACATGGAATATAGCATATGTTCAATCAATAATTTTAAAAAGATTTTATTTATTTATTTGATAGAGAAAGAGAGCAAGCACAAGTGGGGGCAGAGACAGATGGAGAGGGAGAAGCAGACTCCCAGCTGAGCAGGAAGCCCGATGTGGGGCTCGATCCCAGGACTCTGAGATCATGACCTGAGCCAAAGGCAGACACCTAACTGACTGAGCCACCCAGGCGCCCCCAATCAGCAATTTTTGAATACATATACAGTACTGAAATAAACCACCTAGGTGAGTCCCTACAAGGTAGAAGTGTGGGTGGGCTCCAGAGATTAGGCATGTTTTACTAAAGAGTGCCTTGAAAGATAGATAACTTTTCAACTGGAAGGTTTTACTGTTGGAGAGATAAGTATGAATAAATGAGCAGAGTTTGCTCTAGTGAATGTGTACTTGAGGGATGGAACAGGGGAGATTCTGAAGGTAAGAAAGCTAGTAAAGAATTTTTTATAATATTCTAGGTATCAAGTAATGGAGACATATCATGACAGTCAAAATGGATTGAAAGAAACATGTACAAAAGGCATTAGCAAAGTAGAAGCAACCTAATAATGAATGATTCATTACAAATGATAAGAGAAAGACAAATAACAGGATGACACTAACTTTTTTAGTTTGGTCATCTAGGAGGATGAGATTGCCATTAACCAAGATGCAGAATACAGTTGAAGAAATAGTTTGTGTATGTTTGTCCAGCTAGCAAATGGAGAGAAACATTTAATAAAATGTTACTCTTGTGATTCTAAAAGAATGCCACTGTGATTGGAAATACAGGTCTGGAACTCAGGGGAGATTATAGATGTAGATTTGGGAGTAATTCCCTTATGGAAAAAAATCTATGAAAGGATAGAATCAGAAAAGAGAGATTAAAAAATGAGAACATGTCCAAGTAAAGAAGTTAGGTGAATAGGTATGTTCGTTCTTGGGGTTGCTGTAGCAAATTACCAAAAACTGGGTGGCTTAAGATAACAAAATTTTATTCTCCCACAATTTGGGGGACCAGAAGTCCAAAATCCAAATGTTGGCAGGGCTGTACCCTCTGAAGCTCGAAGGGAAAATCTGTTGTCTCTTGCACCTTCTGATGGCTATCAGCATTTCTTGGCTTGTGGCTACACGACTCCAATCTCTGTCTCCCTGGTCACATTGCCTCCCTTTCTGCATATCTACTTATCCATATGTTTGCTTTATAAGGATACATGTGATAACACTTTAAGGCCCACCTGGGTAATCCAGGCTAAACTCCTTCTCTCCGGACCCTAAACTAAATCACATCATTTGCCACAGAAAGTAATACTCACAGGCTCCAGGGATTAAGATTGTGGGCATATCTTTTAGGGGAGTCACCATTCAACCCACTATAGTCGGCTTAAAATCGTAAGGCTATGCAACAGACAGTTGAAATAAAACTCAAAGTGCAGTACATCAAGTAACTGTTAGAAGTTTGAGGTGAAGAGAAGGGATAAACAGAACTAGCTTTTCCCCCCAAGAAGTAGCAAATTTAAATGTGTGTGTGTATAATATGTGTACATATGTATGTGTGTGTATATATATTAAAAAACATATGTATATACATATATATGGACACATGAGTGTTTTTGTAGTGTGAGGAAAAGAAGCAAGTAAAAAAGGAGATACTGAAGATGAGACAGGCAGATTAAGAATGAAGATGAAGATGAGGGGCGTCTGGGTGGCTCGGTCAGTTAAGCATCTGCCTTCCACCCAGGTCATGATCCCAAGGCCCTGGGATCGAGTTCAGCGTCCTGGCTTCTGGCTCAGCGGGGAATCTGATTCTCCTTCTCCATCTGCCTCTCTCCCAGCTCATGCTTGCTCTCTATCTCTCTTGCTCTCTCTGTTAAATAAATAAATAAATAAATAAATAAATAAATAAATAAATAAATAAATAAATAAAAATCTTTTTAAAAAATGAAGCTGAAGGTGAAAAATATGGGGGCATCTGGATGGTTCAGTTGGCTAAGCATCTGACTGCATCTCAGTTTGGGTCTTGATCTCAGGTTCTTGATCTTAGGGTTGCGAGTTCCAGTGTGGAGCCTACTTAAAAAGAAAACAGAAAAAAAGGTGAAAAATATGGAAGCGGTAGAAAAGAGAATAATATTTTAAGAGCATAGGGTTGACTTTAAAAGTGGGGATCATTTTTCTTTAGTAGGGAAAGAAAAATGTTGATACAAGAAGAGAGCCATCAAGTTCATATCTGATTATTTATCTCTCTGTGTAAATTATCTGAGACAAAAATGGTGGAAATGAGGTTGGGAATTTGAGAAGAAAATATGGAAGAATCTCTGTATGCAGGAGGAAAGAGTTAATCAGGAATTCATTTGAAAGTCCAAATCAAGGTAAAGGTGAGAGTAAACTTGTAGAGAATATAGTGATCATGGTTAAGTAACATCCCTAAATGGAGAAGCTAAGTAAGAGAGAGAAAATGAATAGTTAGGCTGTGTGTTGGAAGCTAAAGAAAATGTTAGACGAGTAATAGAAGTAGGTGAGTGCTTTTGGAGTGTCTGACATATTTCACATAGTTGACTCTGTAATCTAGGTTAGGTGGAGTGGAAAGGGAAATAAGGCAGAGCGTGATAGACAAGAACAACTACAAATAATCAAGGAACTGTTCCCTGATACAAGTAAAGTTATGTTAGTGAAAGTAATGTAACAGGGGAGGAGGATGGGGGTAAGAGAATATCAGATACTCTACTCAAATTTTCAGAGATGAGCAAAGACACAGAAATGAACTCAACTATTATTTCCTACAGAGTTGTGCACAGGACAGGCAAGATAATTATTGGAGCTGTACTATATCTTTCATAGCACTATTTTGCCTGGAACTTTGTGGCTTGGTAAAGATAGTTGTAGCAATAGGTAAAAGTAATATTCTCTTCCTTTCTTTCTTGCTAAAGATGTGTTAACATCGGGGCACCTGGGTGGCTCAGTCGTTGGGCGTCTGCCTTCGGCTCGGGTCATGATCCCGGGGTCCTGGGATCGAGCCCCGCATCGGGCTCTCTGCTCGGCCAGGAGCCTGCTTCTCCTTCTCCCACTCCCCCTGCTTGTGTTCCCTCTCTAGCTGTCTCTCTCTCTCTCTCTGTCAAATAAATAAAATAAAATCTTAAAAAAAAAAAGATGTGGTAACATCTCTGCTTACCTGTTGATGTTTGGAAAATCAGAGTCAATTGAAATGATAGTAAAGTTATTCCCAGGGATGGGGAAGAGAAGAGGGAAGTTTAACCTATTGGTATTAACTTAAATTCCATCAAATACATAAGATGCTAGTTCTTGGCATCTTTTATGTAAAGAAAAATTCAAAGCATTGTTATATCTTAATGATCTAAATTACTGTGTTTATGCACAAACATGCTCACATACAAACTCATACACACATTGGCAGGACTCTTCCTTTAAATACAAATATTTTATCCACATTTCACATGCATATTTGGGGGAATTTACACATATGGTATATTTATACATCTGGTATATCACTTATTAATATTTTCCACAATCATCTGTTTTATTCTTATAATTGATTATATTTCCATTTGGCGTTAATAGCT